TGTTCTCTATTCTTATTTTATAGGGATCATCTTCACACTTTTAAAATATCAAGAAAATAAAGTAAAGGGACTATATTTTCTTTTCTTTCTTCCTTCCTTCCTTCCTTCCTTTTGTTATTATTATTATTATTTTTTTTTGGTATGTGATTGTACTAGGGATTCAACCCAGGAGTACTTTGTCACTGAACTATGTCCGAAGCCCTTTTTTATTTTGAGACAGGGTCTTGTTAAGTTGCCCAGCTGGCCTTGAATTTGCAGTCTTCCTGCCTTAGCCTCCAGTGTTTCTGGGATTACAGGGATGCATCACCACATCCGACAGAGCTACACTTTCTTTTGTCTTTTCTTTCTTTAAGGGTTAGGAAACCTTTTCCAGAAGTTCTCATTCTTCATTGACCAAAATTGTAACGCATGCCATTGTCAAAACAAACCACCCACTAGGGAGATGGGGCTTCTTTTCAGGATTTACCCTTGAGTTAAGGATAAATTCACTGGGCTAAATAAAGAAGGCTAGACACCTGAACCAAAGGAGGGTTATATTAACAAAAGAAAAACTAAAAGTGAATTCTGTATGTGGGCTATTTGTGACAAAGTCCTGTCCACAAACACGGAGTTCAGTCAGTTTCTCTACCACACCATCTTAAAATATGCACTAGCAAGCAAACATCTCCAGATCTGGAAGGAAAGCCAAAAAGCATGGACATGAAAGATCCGCAGGAGGATTTCCATGTTCAACCATGTATAATATCAAACTGGCAAAATAAAAGAAGGATCTGTTTGAATACATTAGTCAACAGGATTTCACATAGTTCTGATCTGTCTTTAGTGAGCTTTTGACATTGAAACCTACAAAACTCTGTCCAATAAGCACTTATAAATTCTATGTAAGTAATGTGTCTCCTGATATCTTGGTCCCAGGAGCATTGCTTCAAATCATATATATTTTTCCTAAAGTTCAGCCTCAATCCATGGAAATTATCAATACCCGGAGAGTATGGGGAAAAGGAAAGATGTTCTACTAGTTAGCAATTAATTATATTCCAGTTGCAAGAGGGAGATAATGACATATTGTGAGATAAAAGGTAGTTTGAGATGTCAATGGACACGATTAAGATGGGGGGAAATTACAAAGTATGAGGGAGCTACATTTAGTTTTAAGAAGTGTCCTCTGCGGAACAATACAGAGGACTATTACAAGTCACTGATGAAACAAGTTGCAGACAAAGGATCTTTTGATCCTCCATGCATCCCAATCTGTTTCGAGTATCGTTTTTGGGGTATCTCCTGACAAAATTGCTCTTGCAAAGTCACCAGTGTGGCTTCCTAATGGCCAAAGTCAATAGTATCTTTTGAGAGTTTGTACTATTTAATTTTTCTATAGCAGTTAAACATTTTCTTTCTTTCTCCCTCCCTCCCTTCCTCCATCCCTCCCTCCCTCCCTTCCTTCCTTTTCTCTTGGTTCTAGGGACAGGATATAGGGGCACTCTACCACTGAGTTAAATTCTCAGCTCTTTTTATTTTTTCGTTTTGAGACAGGGTCTACACCAAGTTGCTTAGGATCTTGCTAAGCTGCTGAGACCAGCCTTGAACTTGTGATCTTCCTCTCAGCCTCCTGAGTCACCGTGATTACAAGCATGTGCTACTGCACCTGACTATGAAAACATTTCTTCTTCTTGTCTTCTCATTCCTCCGCAGTCTTCTTAACAGAAGTTCCCACCCTCCCCACAAACAAACCCTCTTCTGAGTTGTGTTTTGTTTTTTGGTCCTTTTCTCTTCTCCCTGAATTACCTCCTTCATGTCTTCTGCCACATCTAGGCCCCAGTGACCTCAACATCTGTATCTCTAGATCCATATTTCTAACTGACGACTCCTATCTTTGCCTGGATGCCCTGCAGGCATCTCAAACCTAGAATGATCAAAACTTATCTTTCATTCCACCTCCTCCAAAAGTCCTTCTCCTCCTTCATTCTCTATTTCAGGGAGTGGTACCACTCTCCACCCAGGAACCAGAGCCAAAAACCTGGGTGTCATCTTCAACCTCTCCCCCTCCAAGTTCAGTGGACCATTAAGTTCTTTTAATTCTACTTAAGAAATATTTCTGCCGTGCAAACTCTTCTCTCTAAGCTCCCAATCACAGTTTTTGGGAAAGTCTCATCAATATTGTTATGAGCATAACTTGGCAGTTTTCCCACACACCAAGCTCTCCCATTTTCAATTCTTTCTTCAGAATAGAGAACATTATTAGTCTTTGGGATGTCACTGTTGAGAAAAGTTTGAAAATGGTTTCAGAATTGACATAATTTTTTTTTTGCCAGGGCACAAAAATTGACGCTATCTACTCTCATTGTCATTTCATAATGATAATGTAAAAAGACTGTTTACTTAAAAGGTAGAAAGTACCATACTCTCAGAATAGAATACAGGATCCAATAGGATGGGAACCATAGGTCTAGAATCTAGATTGCTAGCAGAGCAATCATTTATAGAGCAAAGTGACTATATTGCTGTCCATCTTGACAATTGTATTATGTAAATATGTTAATTTATCCACATAGTCTACAGGCATCTCATTTTACTGGTTTTTAATGGCTATATAGTATTCATCATGTTGAAATGCTATAGATGTCTTTTTGTGATCTTTTATTAGGAATTTGAGATTTTTTCCAATATGCAGAAGCTAGAGTACAATGAGAAAAGGGGGAGGGAAGGATAAGATTACATAAAGAATCAATTAAATACAAATTAATAGACGAGAGAAAGGAATTCTAGTAGAGTACAGAAGGAGAAGGGAAGGGGAAGACTAAAGGAAAAAGGGGAAGGGAAAACAGGATAATCATGAACTGAAATTGATTTTCATACATGTACGAGTTTGCTGTTATTGGTATCAGAGATTGAACCCAGGGGTGCTTTAACACTGAGCCACATTCCCAGTCCTTTTAAATATTTTATTTAGAGACAGGGTCTCACTGAATTGCTTAGGGCCTCGCTAAATTGTTGAGGCTTGGTTTGAATAGCAATCCTTCTGCCTCAGCCTCTCGAGCTGGTGGGATTATGGGCCTGTGTCACCATGCCCAGATTGAATGAGTGAAGGTATCAGCCAGGCAAAGAACAGCCCAGCTGGAAGAAACAGCGTGTGTGAAATGCTCCAAGGTCAGACAGAACTTTGTGAACTGTAGCTAAGAAAGGGAATGGAGAGTCTAGAGATATAGGTAAGGGCCAGATCATACTAGGCATTTTAAAGGATTGTGGGTAAATGGAGGTTACAACTACTTTTTTTTTTTTAAAAAAAAACGACATTGCCAAAACCTTTTATTGGTGATATTAGAAAAACAAGTAACTTAAAGTACCAATGAACAATATGCTGTGTGTCTATTTTCTTATGGTTACACTACAAACTAATTTTCATCTATTCAAAAGCATAAATAAATATTTAAGCTATGAAATCATATACTGACACATTAGATTCATTCTGCAGGATAATCCTCCACACCAACACGAGGATTACAGGTTTTGTTGATTTTTTTTTTTAATACTAAGATGTTCTGTGGGACTTGAAGTTTTACTTGCAATATTATTACAAACCAGTTTCCTCTTAATTGGCTGATAAGTCAACTTTTTTGATACTGTGTTTGGTTCATAGTTTTCTATTGTCATTTATATATATATATATCAACCATAGGAAGGAATTTAAAATGTAAGTAGGGATATATTTCAGTTGAAAAACAAATATTTGTAAAGGTATAATAGTTTTTAGTAGAATTGGCTAGGTGTTGAACTTTTAAGACATGATAATACTTTATTTTTATTTTTTATTTTTGGTGCTGGGGATTGAACCCAGAGCCTACAGCATTCTAAGCATGCACTCTACCACTGAGCTACACCCCACCCATCTGATATTGCATTTCAGGGGCTATGATCAGAGCCTGTGTAAGGTTTAATATAAAACTACTAGCAAGAAGGCCCTTACAGACATTTTGATGCCAACGAAGCTTGGTCCCTATATGTTCTTGGGTCCTATATATATGGAGACACTCAAACACATGTGACATATATACCTATATATCATTTTCCATGACACACCCATATATGATAAGTATACTTATGCACACATATGTATACACACACATCCACACACATCCCCCATACCTTTAACTTTGTTGCTCAATTTAAGTTTTTGTAAACTTCTATGTGTGTCCTATATATGGAACATGGAAACATAATCGGTTAAAACTGATTAAAACCCCTAAATTCTGTTGGTGAACAAAGACCCATATTTGGTAGAAATTGAGGAATTGGCTCAGGCAGCCAATCACAATCTACTAAGGCCACATACTAAATCTCAAACTGCAAGGCTCTCATAATAAGATTAGAGAAAGAATAGGCAAAATTCAATTGCATTCTGGCGAATAGTCTTAAGACCAAAAAGAAGGGGGACTAGAAATAAAGACAGTGGTGTATGCATCAACGGGAAGGGCTGTGTATCCTCGTCTGTCAGAACCTGCAATTCTTGTCATGGACTGGAAAATAAGAAAAGCGTGAGGGGCTCCCATCTTGAATCATCCAAGGTTTACAGTACGCGAAACACGGAATTCCAGATTCCAACATGACGTGCCTAGAGAGCTGTGACTAACGACGCAGTCCTTGAGTCACACACACACACAAAAGGATGTGTTCAATCAAACGCGTTTTTTTTTTTAAGGAATGCTCGCTGCTTCCCTTATGATTTATAAATCAAGACTATTAAAATTTTCGGTTCCAGCCAACACGCCCCTCCTCCTGCAGGTCGCCCTCTCTACACAGCAGGCACGGGCTTCTCCAGCTCACTCTGGTCCCCCTTCAAGCTGACGGTACGCGGGCAGATTTGTACCGGGAATGCCCGAGGCCTGGGACGAGTCAGGTATCAGTCAGCCCCTAGCCCACACCAGATAGGCACAGAGGCCCGACGCCGCAGTCCAGTCCTCCGCCGTCCCAGCATTCCCCGCGGCCCTACCATCGAGAGCAGCTTCCGGCGTCGCTGGTGTAGGTGGGTGAAGAAGGAGCGGGCCCTCGCCGCTCTGTCTCGCTCCCTCGCGCTCTCTCGAGCAACATGGCGGGCGTGGAGGAGGCAGCGGCCTCCGGGAGCCACTTGAATGGCGACTTGGATCCAGACGACAGGGAGGAGGGAGCTGCCTCTACGGCGGAAGAAGCAGCCAAGAAAAAAAGACGAAAGAAGAAGAAGAGTAAAGGGGCTACCGCAGGTAAGGGGAGTCTTGTTTTCCCAGTCTCTGCCAGGAATGGCCGAACGACTTGGCTTAGGCTCGGCGGGGGTGGCAGGGACCGGGGACCCGGAGCCCTAGACTGGATTGATTCCCAGGCCTGAGAGAGGGGCAAGGCCGGGCTCCAGATTCCTAGGCTGGGGAGAGCGGCTTCTCCCGCTTTTTGGGGCAGAGATGAGGTAGAAGAATGCCTCAGCTTCGCATGCGGTAGCCCTGGGTCGCGGGGCCGGCCCCCCACCCCCATTTTTTTTTTTTTTTGCCTGGGCTCAGCTCCCAGGCAGACCATTGCGCGGACATGAAACCAGCCACACAACACGGCTCTACCAAATTCCGCGTGGTTTGGGGCCCTCCTCAAAAATCTCCATGCTGCCTCTTTGCTGGAGCTACCGGAGACGTAAGGATGGCGGTGGGCAAGAGTATAGCCCGACCCGATGGCCCCCCACCATCCGGGTTTACATCGGGGTTGTTGTTGCAGGTTGCACGTTTGGGGTGTGTATATATGTCTGTATGCCCACACACTTATGTCAGCGAGAATTTCTGGTTGTGGTGGTGCGAATTTTCATCTGCCTTATTCCACAGCATCGTCCAGCATTAGGGCCTTTAGGCCCGAATTATGATGCCACTTTCAGGCAAATGCAGAAGGGATCTTCTTTGGCTCTGAATGGAACGTCTCAAGCAGTAACCTCCAAATCTATTGGTGAAGCAAGGAAAACAACTGAAAGTACACAGTTGGATCGTTTTATTAGCTAAGAACTCAAGTGTTTTGAGAAGTCACCGTTTTTGTTCACCAATTTCATTTTAGCAAAAAAACTGTTTTTAGCTGTTTTTAATGAAAATCAGAGATACAACGAGACAGAAACGGAGAGGTCATAGTGAAAACAAGGGTGCACAGGATGAATCGATGTCTTTCTGAAATTTTGATTAGATGGGAAGAGGGAGAGTTGTAGATTTGCTGGGTCTCTTCCAGAGCAAAATTTAATCCTAGGACATACTCTGGTGGCTGTTTTGGCTTTTAGATGAAATCCAAACTCCTCAGTTTGTCCTTGAAGGTATTCAGCGGAATAATCCTAATATATTTTTTAACAGTTGTATCTCTTAATATAAATTCTTTTCAGTAATCAGAATGTCACTTTATTAAGTGCTACCTGGTTTTACTCTTTCTCAGTGTATTACTTATACAGCTAGATTGTAATTACTTGCAGAGCATGGGCTTCATCTTGTGCTTAGATGTTCAAAAATTTGTATTTTCGCAATGGACTATCCTTTTTTGTTTATTTTGTTTGATTGATTTTCAAACCTAGTTCATTATGACAGCTGCTTTCTTCACAGAGTTAGGGGTGTTCTGTCTGAATCCTTCTTAAGGCCTTCAGCACTGTTGCCTGTATTAGATACTTAATTACTAGATAGGTACTTGCTAGTAATTAAAGAATTTGATGAGTGTGTTGAATACTTTTAAAAGTTAAAGTACAATAAGGATAGGGACCTTGAAGGTCTTATTTATCTTTACTGCTAGTATGTGTAGTGGGTATTTTGTTGAATGAATTAATGAATGGATGGTACTACTTAGGTATGGAAGATTTTTTTTTTCTGCCATTTAACAAATTATATTCAAAATAATGTTTCTGTTTTTTGTTTCCTGAGCACTTATCAAGAAGCACTTGCAAGCTGTCCAGGATCATTAGAACATATTCTAGTGGGAAAGTATCCTTATTACATTTGGTTCATGCTATTTTATTTGATCAGCAGGGCAACAGGAACCTGATAAAGAATCAGGAACCTCAGTGGATGAGGTAGCAAGACAGTTGGAAAAACAAGCATTGGAAGAGAAAGAAAGAGATGATGATGATGAAGGTAAATGGTTAATTTGATCTTTGTGATTATAAGATAGAAAATGTGAGGTTATCTGACATTTCACTTGCCAAAGCTTCAGTTAATGTTGCAGATAAAGGAAGAGGCATTTATTAGCAACTCCTTAAAAAGTTGTATATGTTGACTAGCTGCTCAGGTAGCACAGATCTTAGTTTTCAAAAATATACTTGGGGGGCTGGGTTTTAGCTCAGTGGTGGATCACTAGCCTTGCACATGTGAGTCACTGGTTTCGATTCTCAACATCACATAAAAATAAAAAAAAATAAAGGCATTGTGTCCATTTACAATAAAAAAAGCTTTTTAAAAAAAATGTACTTGGCAGAAGGCCAGGTAGAGGGTATTAATACAATAAAATTGAGAGGCTGTTTATTTGATATTTATTTAACAACTACTATATTCTAGACATTATGCTGGAATACTTTCACTTACTTTAACCTCACAAATCCAGCAAAGTAGGTGCTACCATTTTACAGAGAAGTGGTAGTTATATGATTTGCCTCATGACACAGCTAGTATATATAACAGAGCCAGAATTTGAAACTTAGCACCTTATTTTCATGCCTTTTATTCTCTATACCAGTGCTGCCTCTCTTCATTCTTAAAGGAGTATATTGGAGTGCTTCTAAACTCTTTTGAATTCCCAGATCCTAGTTCTTTATGGGTATTTGGATGTTATAAAATTTCTTTTGGGGCTGGGGTTGTGGCTCAGTGGTAGAGCGCTTGCCTAGCATGCATGAGGCGCTGGGTTCAATCCTCAGCACCACATAAATGTAAAATAAAGATTTTGTGTACATCTAAAACTAAAAAATAAATATTTTAAAAAAATAAAATTTCTTTTAAGACAGCTACTAGAATTCTAGTATTTGATGTAACTGTAAGACAGGAGGGAGAGAAGATTAAGTCAGAAGTCTATTATAATTCTATAGCCTGTTTTGGTACAGGAGGAAATAGGGATTTCCTATTTTTTGAATTTTTATTTATTTACTACCAGGACCAGTTGCTCTACCTCAAGCACTGTCAGCCTGGGGCTAATACCTTTTAGCCAGTGGAGGCTGTACCAAATTATTTTGTTTGGGTAATCTAGAGTAGTTTTTTTTTAGAAAGATGTGTTCTTTGCCTTCAGGAAGCTTAAGTCACACCAGGTGTAGTGTGGTGGTGCACACCTGTAATGCCAGTTACTCAGGAACCTCAGGCAAGAGAATTGCAAGTTTGAGGCCAGCCTAGGCAATTTAGCAATGCTGTCTCAAAATTAAAAGAAAAAAAGAGAAAAATTAAGAAAGGTCTGTGGGTGTAGCTTTGTGGTACAATGCTTGTTTAGTGTGCCCCAGGGCTTGGGTTCGAGTCACAGCAGCCATTTTTTTAAAAAAGCTATAGTAAACATAAGTGGAAAAGAGGTGCCTAGATTGAAAGAAATCATTAGCTTTTCCTTTTCCTTAAGCAAACATCTTCTCCATTCTACTTTGGCTTATGCTTCAGATTATGAACATATTTTGAACTTTGAACAAGAAAGGAGTTTGTAAATTCAAGGTAATATAATAGGTTGTTATAGATCCACTATGTATAGAATATCATAGTGCTAATTTTGATGTTTGCTTTGTTCCGTTTTTACCTTTACAAAGTTCACTGAATTTCTTGACATGGTAAATGTTTTATGTGATAAATTAGAAACCTTCAGTGTGTTAAAGACAATTTTAGGAATATTGACAGTTTTCACCAATTTGAGCTGATTATTTTCCTAATTTGTTTTCATAATAAGGATAAATTAAGTACTACTTATCTGTTACGAGTGCTCTTTGAGGGATGGAAAGCTATATTTTAGAATTTTTCTCCTAGAAGAAAACTGTTGGTGTATTGGAAATATCAAGTGAAAAGATATACAAAGTGAAAAGATATTCTGGTATATACACTACAATTCAATGAAATTTGGAGATGGAATTGTAAGCTGAATGCTAAAAGAATACTCATTGGAGGGAGTAAGACTTGATTAAAACCAAGTAGAAGAGACCATTTGAGAAGGGATAACGCTGAGAAAGTTTTCAGAGTATAATAAACAGAGCAAACTGGCTATAAAAGAGGATTCAATGATGGAGCCTTTGAGCATTTTTAAGCATGTTATGACAAAATAATTAGACTTTATATTTGTGCATGATTATTTACAGGAGAGTACATATATGTTAAAAGCAAGGAGATCATTTTTACGGCCACTTAGCAGAAGGCCAGGCATGTGGTGAGGGAAGATTTAAACAAATAGTCAAATAGAAATGGAGAGGAAGTATCCAATAATAGTAATGGAGACTGTTGATGTGACAGAGCATTAATGCTCTTGCCTGTAATATGAAGTTAGCAGAGAGCTGGTTAGAGTTAGGGGAGGGACTTTGTAGGCAAAGAAGAAGATATTGAATATAATTTTAGGTATGTTGAACATGAGATTGTTGGTATCCATGTTATAGTTGATCCTATAGGCATCTGGCAACATGCCAGAGGTAAATCATTCAGTAAATTTAAGTCAGGCTTATTAATTTGCCTAAAATAGTATTTTCCCCTTGTAAGTGTACACTTTGGGGAGTTTTGATATTGAATTGTGTACCATTGCCAAAAACAAAGGTATAGACCATTTCCACAAAAATATCTCCACCAAAAAATTTCCTTTGTCCCTTTGTATCAAGTTCTGTTGCTCCATGCTCTTATCCTTGGCCACCTCTAATGTTTTTCTGTCCTTGTAGTTTTTGCCTTTCCTAGATTATCATATAAATATAATTATTCAGTATGCAGCTTGTTTGTTGGATTATTTCACTTAATAATAGTTTTGACAGTTATTTAGATGTTGCATTCATTTTTAGGAATTAGTACATTGTTTTTTATTGCTGAATAATATTCCATATTCATTTATCCATTTACCATTTATAGGATATTTGGGTTTCCAGCTTTTATCTGTTATGAATAAGGTTATGAACAGTTGCAAAAAGGCCCTTGTGTAAACATATGTTTTCATTTCTCCTGGGTAAATACCTACAAATGAGGTTTCTGAAACTGCCAAACTTTACGAAAGTGGCTGTACCATTTTGCATTCCTCTCAGCAATGATTGAGAGTTCCAGGTTCGTATTCTCATAAGCATTTAACTATTGTCAGTTTTTAAATTACAGCCTTTCTGATAGGTGTGATTGGTGGTACATCATTATGGTTTCATGTTTTTATTTGTCTTTCATATTAATATCTTTTTATTTATTTATTTATTTTGTGATACTGGGAATTGAACCCAGGGACACTTTACCACTAAGCTACATCCTCAGCCCTTTTAATTGTTTGTTTTGAGATGGGGTCTAAGTTGCTTAAGGCCACACTAAATTGCTGAGTGTGGCCTTGAACTTGGTGATCCTCCTGTCTCAATCAGACTCCCTAGTCACTGGAGTACAGGTGTCAACTAGTCTGTAATCCAGGCTTCATATATCTTTTTCTTTTTTTTGGTGTGGAGGGCTACTGGGGATTGAACTTAGGGGCTCTCAACCACTGATCCACATCCCCAGCCCTGTTTTGTATTTTATTTAGAGACAGGGTCTTACTGAGTTCCTTAGTGCCTTACCGAGGCTGAGGCTGGCTTTGAATTTGTGATCCTCCTTTCTCAGCCTCCTGTGCCACTGGGATTACAGGTGTGTGCCACTATACCGGGCTTCATATATCTTTTTTATAAGTGTTCAGATCTTTTGTGTATGTTTTATTGGGTTATTTGTCATCTTATTGAGTTGTAATAATAGTTCTTTGTGTATTCTAGAGGCATGTTACTGGATTCATGTTTTACAAATATTTTCTCCCATGCTGTGGAATGTCTTTTCATTTTATTGATGGTATTGTTCGTAACACAATTTTAATTTTGATGAAGTCCAGTTTATCCTCTTTTAATTTATGCATGGTCATGAAGATTTTCTTTTCAAGAATGTTATATATTTTTACCTGCTACATTTAGGTCTGTTATCCTTTTTGATTGTGTGTGTGTATGTATGCATGTGTATGCATGTGTGTGCACGTGCATGTGTGCTGGGGATTGAACCCCCACAAGTGTTCTACCACTGAGTCACATCCCCATCCCTTTAAATTTTTTATTTTTAAGACAGGATCTCACTAAGTGCTTAGGACCTTTCTAAGTTTCTGAGGCTGGCTTTGAAATGGCAATTCTCCTGCCTCAGCCTCCTGAATCACTGGAATTATAGGTATGTGCCACCACATCTGGCCTTTCAGAATTTTTCTATTGAGCAAGGTAAAAATAGAAGGGTTTTTTCCTTTCCTATGTGAATGTCTAATTGTCAGTTCACCGGGTATTAGTTGATTTGGGCATGGTTTTAATAAAGAAATAAATATGAACTGTCTTTACCTAATAGAAATATTTTGGGATGCTATGAAAGACAGACATATAAAAACATAAATTTCAATATGGTATAATGGTTGGAACTAAAACTACATATAGCTTACTATTCAGATCTTGACTCTGCTGCCATCCTGGCACAAAGAGTTCCATAAGTGGTGGCTGTTACTCTGTATTGAATCAGACATTGGACATTGAATAAGGCAGTTAGTTTCAGAAGGACGATAAAGTATCAAATAAGGATATTTTATTTATCCCATTTTTAAGATGAAGAAACCATTGTAGAGGGAGGCTAAATAATTCACCAAAGGCACACAGCTGGAAAAATTTTTAGCATGTTTAAAAGTGGCTTCATATCTCAAAATGTTTGTTTTAGGTTGAGTCTAGTGTGTGTAGCAGTATGCTAGACACTTGAATATTTTTTCATAACAAAAACTATTTTGCTTATTACTGTCTGTCCCTGTTGCCTGGCACTTAGAAACTCAGCATTTAATGGAATAAAGAAGTTGTCGTGCAGAATATATGAAATAGATTATCTGATACGTCAAGGACATTGAGTTGTATTTTCCAAAAGTTTTTCCTCTTAGGCTTCTGAACATAAAAAGCAATAAATAATGAGTAAATATGCAGTATTTGTGTTTCCATTGTACTCTTCTACCTAGTGGGTTCTTGTTAATTTTATAAGATTGTATGTAACAGCCAGGTGTGGTGGCACATGCCTTGTGTTTGGAAGGCTGAGGCAAGAGGATCATAAGTTCAAGGTTAGCCTTTGCAACTTGGTAAGACTCTTTCTCAAAAAAAAAAGGGGGGGGGATGGAGGTGTAGCTCAGTGTAAAACACCCCTGGCTTCAACCCCCAGTACCCCCAATAAAAGATTGGATATAAGAAATTTCAATTTTGTAAGTAAAAAATTGTCAAATACTGGCATTTTCATTGATTTTTTCATAAATATTAACAGGATAAATTAAAGGGCCATTCATTCACCATGTTCTTGTCACTGTCCTTAGTTTTAAGATGTGTAATCCTTAAGGAGCCCACAGATGAATAGAGATCTGTTTAAGCCAATGATTGCAATTTTATATGGTAATTAAAATAATATTGTATATCGAATAGTGAGAGAATTGCTTTCATGGCTCTTCTTTAATCTGGGAGTAAAAGGGTGCACTTCAAGAAGAAAAATTTAAGAGACATTTGATGTTGTTTTATAGGTGTGGGTTTTACTATCTAAAATTATTGATGTTACTATAGCCACTAGGTGGAACTTTCAAAAGAACACTTAAATGATGATGAGCATACTATTAGACCATCAACTAATACTTATCTGAGACAGCGTCATGTTCATTGCAGTTTCAGAGCAGTGTGATTTTTCTGGGTAGATTTGGAAACTTCAAATGTAATTGCTGGAATTTATTGAACAGCATTTTTAGAAGTTCAGACTCTTAGGTCTATACATTTATTTAAAATGTTCTGAGTCACTATTTCATCTTGTCTTTAATTGTATCCTTAACTTTTCTCAAAGTTTCCATCATAGATGGTTATTATAAAGACTCAAACAGATTCATGGCTGTTTTGGGTGTTTCTTTGACAACTATTTTCCACCAATTTTTGGGCATCAGGCGCTGTAGAGACCCAGAATTCAGGAAGAGTATATATATGCCCGCTGATTTTTTAAAAATGTTTTTTTTGTTGTTGTTGTTGATGGATACAATATCTTTATTTTTATGTGGTGCTGTGGATCGAACCCAGGGCCTCACATGTGTGAGGCAAGTTCTCTACCACTGAGTTACAACCCCGCCCATGCCCACTGAGTTTTGCATAAAGTTTGGCCTAACTACAGAATTCTTTTTCTGCTAACTGTATTGGAAAAGGCGTTAAAAATAATGATACCCCACATAACCCTACTAGATTAGGAATCAATTGACATAATTATTGGTCTAGTTATGCAATTTACCAGTAGGGTTATTATGTGCAAGTACCTTAGACATTCCTTGTTACCTCACAGGGTTGCTTTGAGCATTGTATGAGGTAATAATGATGTGTTTAACTGTGTTTAACTGCAGAGCACATGTGAATTGTTATTAGTGTTATTTTAGATGAAGTCACAGGGTCATTATTATTGATGTAATTTTTTTTACAGTTATTTTTCCTAGCTTTTAAAAAAGAAAGTCAATGCAGTTTTTATTCTTAAAGATACTTTATTCAACAATGTGTGTTCAAGTAATTCAAAGTAAAATCTGCTAGTGTTTTTTGATTACATAAATGAATGTACTAAAAGCTAGCAGTATACCTTATCAAATGCTATTTAAAACGCATTGTGTGTATGTACACATTCATACACACCTGTCTCCTTCTGTTTTCTTTACCCCTGTCCTTATGAGGTTTAAATGAATGTGTATTTGGAATTGTTTTTTCTTAGATGGAGATGGAGATGGTGATGGAGCAACTGGAAAGAAGAAGAAAAAGAAGAAGAAGAAGAGAGGACGTTAGTATCTTAAGTTAATCTTACTTGGTAATAGTAATTTTTAACCAACAGGTTTGAAGAGTAGGTTAGAAGTTTAAGGTCCTAATACACGTCAGAGAAATAAATTTAGGTTAATAGAGGTAAAATTTAGTGAAACTAATTATTATATAGCAAATGTTTTAGTTTAACAAACTTTTTGATGTTTTCTATAGTGTTTATGTAAATTGGTTGCATTTAATCACAAGGTAGGGGTGAGTTCCTAAAAATTTTATAAATTAAAACTTGCATAATACAAAGAATAATTTTGTCAGGGATAGGTAAGTTGTGGCCCTATGTTGTAATAGGTGAACATGGTTTGTGGTTTATCTGCCAGCTTTGAAGTTATGAGATTCTTAATGAACATTTAATGAGGAATTCCATTATTTTAAACTACGTGCATATGGTGAGATTTTATAAATACATTTGTTATAATACTATTTTAAATATGTATAAAATATGACCCTACTTAGATTGTATTTCTAAAAATGACAACCATATATCTTCAAAAGCCTAAAAACATATTAGGGAGACTATGGGAAAGACTGTATAGTATGGAGGAATAAAGATTGGTTTGAGAATTAGAACATGTAAGTTCTAATAATCTTGGATGCTCTTTGGGCTATTGGGGATCATTAAATGTCTGGTTATACCGTCCTTTAAGATATTTCAGGTTAAAATTTTAAGAATTAGAATTTAGGGGACTTGACTTCCATTTTTATCTGTTGTTTAGAGAAGCTCTTGCCTCTGTCAGCCATTCCCCTAGTGTGTGTAACCAGGTTGAGGTGGGATAACCTTTCTTTTCTAACTCGTGTATAAGGATGTCATTTCTGCCTCTAACTTGTGAGGACATATAAGTCTGTATTTAGTGAGCACAAGTTAATTTTACATTCCAGGAATCTTCTACATATTCTAATGTCCTATTCCCTATTCTTTCCATTCAAAATCATTAATAGTGTGCCTGTGAAGGGTTAGGAATGTAGCTCTCTGGTAGAGCACTTGCACAGCCTTGGGTTCTATCCCTGGTACCACTTAAATAAAAAGTGACTGTGTAAAATGGTATTCTCTGAGAATGAATTGCAGATACCTATTTCTCCAAATACTCTAAAATTGCTCCCTAATGAAAGTAGATAGGTAAGGAGGATGATTATGGAGCTATTTTACACTTGTCCCTTTTAAAATTCTACTGACAAATGTTTTGGTATGATGCAGTTGTGCCTCCTGTTAGAATATTGTTGATTGAATTTATCTCTTGTACTGGAGATTGAACCCAGGTTCACTTGACTCGTGATCCTCCTGCCTCAGCTTCCCAAGATGCTGGGATTATAAATGTGTGCCATTGTACCAGATTTTGGTGCATTTCTTTTTTTCTTGCAGTACTGGGGCTCGAACCCAGGGTCTTATATATGCTAGGCAAATACTCTCAGAACTATGTCCCCAGCCCTTTCATTGCATTTCTGTATTAGCACTCTTTTTGTGTAAGGGGAGAGATGGAGTTGAATCCAGGGGCATTTTATTTTGCCGTTGAACTACATCCCCACTTCTTTTTCTTTTTTGAGACAGGGTCTCACTAAGTTGCTGAGGCCGGACTTAAACTTGGATCGTCCTGCTTTAGCTTCCTGAGTTGCTGGGATTAAGGCATGTCCCACTTCACCTGACTTTATTAGCACTCTTTTAAGAGACTCTCTTTTTTCTGGTCTTGGTATCAAGAATATTTGTGTTTTTCCTGTGTAGTTGATTGGTTTTATCTCAAAAATACCATGAACTATGAAAATAGTCTGGCTTTTTATTTATTTAAGGTTGGCTACTTGTGGGCCTAGAGCCAAATTTGTGATTTTTTTTTTATTGGCCTTGTTTCAGGTTCTATTTCATATTCTTTTCCTTGTTTTGATTTTTGCTTTCTTATTTACTTTGAATGTCTCTTATTTGTGTATTTTTGATAAAACATTTCTGAAATAAGACATAATGTTATAATAAAAATAATGCTACCAGGATTAGTTTACTTCCCTCATTTTCCACATCTATAAAGTGGGAGAATTATAAGTAATAGCATGTAACTGCAATACATATTATTATAGCTTATTTGTAGTTTTATATAATTTGGGGGTCATAGCTCAGTGATAGAGTGCTTATCTGGCATGTATGAGGCCCTGGATTTGAACCCCCCCTCCCCTCGCTCGCGCACGCTCGTGCACACGCACACATCCTCAGATACAGTACATTATGATACCAAATGTTTATCAGGATTTCATGTGACTTCTTTTTGTAAATGAGATAACTGAGGCTTTTAGTTGTGTTGTCCTAGTCATAGCTAGTAATTGGTAAATGATAGACTTTAACTCTGCTCTGATATTCTGATTACAAATTCTCTCCCTCCCTTCTTTCCTTCCTTCCTTCTTCCTTTCTTTCTTCGTACTGGGGATTGAAACCAGGGGTGCATTACCACTTAGGCACTTCCCCAGTTTATTTTTTTATATGGAAACAGGGAAGTCTCACGAAGTTGCTAAGGCGGACCTAGAATTTGCAATCATATTGCCTAAGCCTCCTGAGTAGCTGGGGTTACAGTTGTGCACCTCCTCACCTAGCTATATTTTATTTTTTCTGGCTCTTTTTGAGATCTTTAACATTTTTTAATTCGTAGGCAATATAGAAGGTATATTTATTTGTAATAAAACTTTGACCAACAAAAAAAATAATAAGACCAGAATAACTAGTCTTTAGTTGGTGATAATATTTAAACAAAAATCAAGATTTTTTTGAACCTAGGATAACTGTGATAATAACCTGTTAATAAGGTTATATAACCTGTTAATAAGCGGAAATTTTACAGATACAGATATAAAATTAATATAGGGTGATTGGGATCCTTAGGAATTTGAGTGTATAAAATCCAAGGTATAGTCTTACACTAATTGTACCTAACTTGACACATTAATATAAGTCAGTTTTGGCTCCATTTAAAATGAACATTAACAATTTCAAGGCTGGCAAATTTGGATAAAAGTGATGAGATGGTCATATCCCTTAAAGTGGTTCCTCGTTGTAGGGAGGAATGAGTAGCAGTGGATAGTCAATTTTTTTTTTTAAACTTCAAAGAATAAAGCTGGACTAATAGAAGAACATGACACAGAGAGAGAGAGAGAGAGAGAGAGAGAGAGAGGAATATGGGACGAGTTTTCAGACAGTTACAGTGTTCCCAAAATGAATAGATATTAGCTTGAGAGATAGTGACTATCTCCACCGTCAGGATTTCAGCTTCATCTGTAAGGAGTGTTAGAGGATTCCTAGATTGAATGTGAAACTCAATTAGGTAATCTCTAATTTTTTTTTCATTTTATAATTCTGTTTCCTCTTAGGAACATGAGGAGAAAGTGTTTCCCAGTTTTCCTTGCCCATATAACAGTTTTAAATGTAATCATGTAAAGAGAAAGAACCAGCTGGCACTCATGAGATACTACTTTTGGATTGAAGGAGTGAGCCAAAAAATGGTTCCTTAGATAATAATTTGCCTCATTAAATGGTCATGTTTATGTGCCTTTTTTTCCCCTTTACAGAACAAAAAAAGGAAAATATGTGTAAAATTTAAGAAAAATTTCATAACATGAACCACTTACTCAGTAGTTGGTAAATGCTTCAGTTGTCTACGCTGAAAGTCATATATTGCTGCATAAATTAGCTCTCATGCAACTTCTTGGTATTCCCTTGGATATAGCATTCATTACTAAAAGGCAGGTCTTCATATAGTAAGAACTACATGGTTAGTTCTTATGTATTTTTAAAAGTTTCAAGAGAAAAATTTATATTTTCTTAAAGCATTTTGGCGACTTTACAGGTTGAGTATCCCTTATCCAAAATGCTTGGGATCAGCAGTGTTTTGGAATTTTTGAATTTTTTATGTTTCATATACACATTTCCTAAAGGTAATTTTAGCGTGCTTGTGTTTTGACTGAACCCTGCCACATGAAATAAGGTGTGGAATTTTCCACTTATGGCAGTATGTCAGTGCTTAGAAAGTTTCAGATTTGGGGTGTTTTGGATTAGGGATACTTAAACTTTCTACAATTTGGGAAATAATGTCTAAGATGTTTGCCAAGTGCTATAACTTTTTTCATGTACCTGGAAATTTTGCATATGGCTAACTCAAGATTTTCAGCATCGATAGTTTATGCTCTTAACTTTTACTAATTATTCCCTGGGAATAATAGTTTTTCACTTATTAATATGTAATAGGACTTCTTATTTTCTTGTTACTTTTCTTTGTGTGTGTGTGGGGGGGGTTACTGGGGATTGAACTAAGAAGTACTCAGCCCCTGAGCTACATCCCCAGCCCTATTTTGTATTTTATTTAGAGACAGGGTCTCACTCAGTTACTTAGTGCCTCATTTTTGCTATGGCTGGCTTTGAACTCATTATCCTCCTGTCTCAGCCTCCTGAGCCGTTGGGATTACGGGCATGTGCCACCATGCCTGGCACTTTTTTGTTTTTTATCTGTGAAAGCCAACTTCTGTGCTCTTAACATCTCTGGTACAGTAAGTGGGGATGAAAACATTGGAAGTGTGCTTTTTCTACCAAAGCATATGATGTTTTTATATGTTTTAAATACATAATGGAATCTTGAGGAGTTAAAGATGTCTTTTTAATTTAATTTTTTCATTGATTCTAATTAGGTAAATATGACAACAGAGTGCATTGATTCAATGTATACAATTGCAGCACAACTTTTCTTTTGGTTGTACACTATGTAGATGTAGCGTCACACCATGCAGTCACACATGTTCCTATGGTATTAAGATCATTCCACCATGTAGCAATAAGTCAGGAAATGGCCTGCATGTTGAAGTGTCTTCTGTTTTTAACTGTAATATGACATCGGGGAAATTAAAATGAGGACATATAACAATCATTAGGACAGAGAAAGCTATAATAACTGCTTACTTTTATATTTAATTATAGAAGTTAACACTTTATTTGTGTTTCACAGCAAGAGTTCAGACAGACCCTCCCTCAGTACCGATATGTGACCTGTATCCTAATGGTGTATTTCCCAAAGGACAAGAGTGTGAATACCCACCCACTCAAGATGGGTAAGGATCATAAAACAACTTCTAGTTTGACTTTTGGCAATTTTAGCAATCAAGCAGGTTTGATTTTTATCTAAACTTTGAACTACTACTTTATTATTAAAAGCTTATGAATTTGTATACATTAGAAGCCCTCTTATCCAAAATGATTGGGACCTCTTGCAGGTTGATTAATCAAAAAAAAGTGGGACTCTCCCCCCAAATAAATCTTTTTAGATAAAGGATAATTTAAATTTGTTTTTGACTTTTCAGTATTTTGGCATGGACTTCCTTTGGATTTCATTTTTTTCCGTTCATAAACTATTCATAATGCATTACCTATGATGTCTATGTTGGATTTCTCTGGAGAGGAGTAAGAAAGAACCAAGTGAGCTGAGGATGGATGTCGTATCTTTACATTTTTCCCCAAAAACATTTAAATTTAATCTTATCTAGAGTTAATTTGACAAAAGTGTTTTTATTTTGTTTGGTTTTGGTGCTGGGGATTGAACCTGGGGGCCTCTACCATTGAGCCACACCCCAAACCATATATATTTTATTTAGATTTTTTTTTTTCCCCTTCCTGGAATTGAACCCAGGAGCACATTACCACTAAGCTATGTCTCTAGTCCTTTTTAGTTTTCATTTTGAGATAAGGTCTTGCTAAATTGCTTAGGGCCTTGTTTTATTGCTGAGGCTGGCCTCAAACTTGTGATCCTCCTGTCTCAGCTTCACAATTCACTGAGATTATAAGTCTGAGCCACTGTGCCCCATTTGACAGAAGTATTTTTTGATGGTTTATCTTTATAAGAGACTTTCAGAGTAGTCATTTTAGTTTTCATAGAAACAGTTATTTTTATGTAGTGTGTTATTGAATTATATAATTACAGTATCAAGTACAGATGACTTACACAGGTTTGGGAACAAACTCTCCCAATTCTTAGAAAATTGTTTTGTGGGGATAGTTTCATCTGGTCAGCAGATGCTCATAGTGGTATTATGTAGACAGCATGGAAATTGGGACCAAACTACCTGTATTTAAATCCTAGTCCTAACATCCAGATTTGTGACTGGGGCAAGTAATTTATTGTGTCTGCTTTCATTTCCTCTTCTATATAATGCACACTTTGAAGATTGCTGTGAGGAACGATAACATATGTAATGCACTTAAACAAGTAACAGATGCATTGTGAGCATTAAGTAAATTAGCTGCTATTATTACTTCCAGCATAGTAACCTGTCAGCCACAAATATTCAGAATACCATGGTCATTTCAATCTGTTTTACAGAGGGAATCAAGAGCATTGTGTAAGCCGGGCGTGGTGGCTTATGCCTATAATCCCAGTGGATCGGGAGGCTGAGGCAGGAGATCGTGAGTTCAAAGCCAGTCTCAGCAACTTAGCCAGGCCCTAAGTAATTTAGTGAAACCCTGTTTCTAAACAATATATATGTCTTTAAACAGTATATGTGTGTGTGTATCTATAAATATATTTAGAATGGGCTGGGGATGTGGCTCAGTAGTTAAGTGCCCCTGGATTCAGTCCCTGGTATTAAAAAAAAAGCATTGAGTGATTCAGTGGTTGCAATAGTTGGTTAAGAAAGCTTCTACTGTGGTTTTCTTTTTCTTTTTTCTTTTTTGTATATAAAGACATCCTATTTTCCTTTAAACACAAAACATGATGTTAATTTCACTTCCTTTATTCCCAAATGTGAATATTATTAGGCATTAAATCTATAAAATTGAGGATTTTATAGCACAGGCATCTTTTCTTTGAATGTGAATTCACCATTTGCTATCCCTGTCTTAAAAGATGTACTTTAAAAAAAATATTGTTTTAGTTGTTGATAGACCTTTATTTTATTCATTTATTTATATGTGGTGCTAAGAATTGAACCCAGTGCCTCACACATGTCAGGCAAGTGCTGTACTACTGAGCCACAACCCCAGCTCAAAAATACTTTTTAAATGTCATAGATACATGCAATTATATGTTAATCACATAAATTCTCATAGTACATATGTGGTCACATACATCTTTAAATTTATTTATTATTTATTTATTTTGCTTATTCCCTCTTCTTTCCCTTCCTTCTAGACTCATGTTAACCACCTAGCAGGTAGCTTTTCATATTTTTCTTTGCTCACATATGTGTACATCTGTGTCTTTTTTATATAAGGGAGAAAATTTTGTCACTGTTTTATAAAAATGGAATCATAGGCACACTTCCTTTGCTTTTCTTATTCAATGCTACCTCTTGAAAGTCTCTCCAAGTAATTAGAATACCTCTATTATTATTTTTTTTTTTTAAGAGAGAATGAGAGAGAATTTTTTTGATATTTATTTTTTAGTTTTCGGCGGACATAACATCTTTGTTTGTATGTGGTGCTGAGGATCGAACCCCGGCCGGTTTCACAGGCGAGCGCGCTACCGCTTGAGCCACATCCCCAGCCCCTCTATTATTATTTTGTTCCACCAATCTGTAATTGACGGGCATTCTCTTTGTCTCTAATATATTTTGCCACTATAAATCATTCAGCAGTTAATTCTGTCTAGGTAGGTATATGTGTATTAAGTAAAAATAATTTTCAGAGTCGGATTATTTGTTGTTTTATTACATTTTTAGTGTACTCATTTTCTTTCAAATGGATAGCTGGTTTATTGGTAAATAATTCATGCTACCGTATTAAATGACCATCTTTGTCATATTATATATTCTTATATATAATGGAATCAATTTCTGAATTGTTTGTTCTGCTTCACTGATCTATTTGTCTATTCTTATGATATTGAAACTTTAAAATAGATCATAAACTTTGTAATATAATAAGTTGATAAGACAAATTATTCTCCCCAGTCACACACAAACATACTGAAATGTCATTGTGAGAATTCTGATTAGAATCACATTGTTAGTAGTTTCTGAAATTTGGCAGTTTTATTGCTGTTTTATCCATTGTCCTGGTATGCTGTTTTTCATTTATTCAGTTTTTTTTTTTTCAGAATGGTTTTATCTGTTTCTTGTTAAATTTGTTCTTAAATATTTTATGTTTTTGCTGATATGAATGAATTTTTTATGTGTTTTTTTAAAGTATTTTTTTTATTTGTAGATGGACACACTAGCTTCATTTTATTTATTTTTATGTAGTCCTAGGGATTAAAGTGTTCTACCACTGAACCACAGCCCCAATGAAATGTTTTTATTCCATTTCTATCTGCTTATTGTTAGGAGAGGAAAGTCATTGGTTTCCTATGTTTGTTAACATAGTGTTAATAATTTAATGTGAGTCTTGTGGAATACTTGAAGTAACTTGAGAAAAATACTGAGTCTTTTTTTTTTTTTTTGTAGTGGGAATTGAACTCAGGGGCATTCAACCACTGAGCCACATCCCCAGCCCTGTTTTGTATTTTATTTAGAGACACGGTCTCACTGAGTTGCTTAGCACTTCCCTTTTGCTGAGGCTGGCTTTGAACTCGCAATCCTCGTGCCTCAGCCTCCCAAACCTCTGGGATTACAGGCACGCACTGTGGTACCTGGTTTGAGATTTTTTAAAAAACTACCTTTTTAAATAAAACTACCTTTCCTTGCTGTTAGCTTCTATTGCAAATTAAATATAGGTAGAAAGAATTCTGGTTTAATGGAGGAAGCTGTTAATTATATATTGAAATACTTTTCAAGGTAACAGTTTTCCTAAATATTGCAATGTTGTGTATTGTCCTGTAGAAATACAAATGGTTATTTGTATGGCTGTTTGCTCTTTTCTTTTATCATAGAAGTAGTTTTTAACCGTTTGCAAATAAATTAGGTTCTTTGTAGATTCAATGTAGGAAAGAGTGACTCCATGATATTTTTGTCCTTCATTTGGGCCTTAAATTATAACAAGAGGCCCTTATAGTTGATTTCTCTATGATTGCTGATTTTTAATTTAAACTAAAGACTTCAAACAAGAGTTTCTTTAATCCAGTTTCTGATTGGTAGTTCTTTGCCACTGATGGAGATCATTCTATAACCTTTGTGGTGTTTGTTTTGGTGCTAGGGATCAAATCAAAGGCTTCATCTCCAAGACATTCCATAATCTTGAAGAATCCACTCCTTCTAAGAGTGTAGGATACTCATGAGATTTCCTGAGTTTAGTATTGGGGGTCTTTATTACAGCATATTCTGATTCTAAAATTTAGAATAGTGCATTTGAAATTTAATTATACTCACGTTTTAGCCTTTAAGAACTAAGTGTTGGATGGGGGGGCAAGTGTTTGAATTAATAATAACTAATTCATTTTCACAACCTAGATTCATGATTTCCATTAGCTTCCTATGGACGTGCTTTTCATTGATGTTTTTTACTTTTTGAGGCAAGTGGTGCTTAAACTTGACTACCAGCTACTGCTGTGGTATATGTGCTAGAATTATGGTGATGTAAGAGATGAAGAATTATGCTGTGTCTTTTTTAAAAATTGATTAACTATGACCTTCATGCCTGCCTGAAAATGATTTGTTCTTAGAATATCCAGGTTCTTAGTTCTGTTCCAGCTTGGAGTAAGCAACTACTGTATTGTAGCATATTGAGCCACTTCTTGAGAGTATTCTTTTTAAAGGAAGGATCTTATCCTATTACTTTCTAGTCTGATGCTTTTACCATATATAGATAGGATGGTCCAATGTATATTTTGAATAAAAATTGCTTAAATTTTCACTGTTTCTGTAAAAGTAATTTATATACATTTAAATACTTATGGGGTTAAAACTGACTTTATATTGATGGAACCATACTATTTTGATTATCTGATAACATCAGTAAACAGATCTCAAATACATTTCCAAACTGAAAACAAACCAAAGAAGTCTATGTGGTGCTCTGCCAAATAGGACATCTCCTTTGGGCCTTTGCAAATTAGAGGTGCTAGATATTGGCACACAAGTAGCAAAAACAGTAGGAAATGAATGTGGTAAACTTGATAGTAACACACAGAAGAGGTCAGGAAGTATTTTAGAGCATTAACTTAGAGGCCTGTTAACTTAGACTTGGGTATATTTTTTCTATAAAGGAACGTGTACTAAATATTAGGTCTTGAGTGTTACTCATCTCTGTTGTAGCATGGAAGAACCTGTCCACAGTACATAAATGAATAGGTACAGGAATGAAATTTTATGTACAAAACAGATACTAGGTTGGATTTAACTGAGAGCCGAAGTTGGCTGAGCCACTGGCTTAAGAGGCAAATAAGGGTAATTCCTTGAAGTAGCCTCCTTTGTACTCTAGTAATCAATGAGTTGTGAGCTATATACACAATATTACTGAAGAATGTGTGGAGCTTAGACAGGTGCAGTGGTGAATGCCTGTAATCCCAGCAACTCAGGAGGCTAGGATGGGAGGTTTGCAAGTTCAAGGCCAGCCTGGGCAATTTAGCAAGACCCTGTCTCAAAATTAAAAAAAAAAAAAAATTAAAAAGGGCTGGGAATGTGGCTCAGTGGTAGAGTGCCCCAAGATTTGATCCCAGCACAGACCCTACCCACCCACTCCCAAATTATGAGGATGTTCTAAAAGATTTTTCATTCTAAAACAGTAACTATTTTTTAAAAATGTTCTGCTTAGAGGGAGTCAATGGCTTTCATTCCTAGATATTAAATATAAAAATTTGTTAACCCTGGCAGTTTAAAAATGTGAGTCATTTCTTGAAGAGAAACATTACCTCCGGTATCTTATACAATCAGAAAAATCCTATACAAGCACATAGTATAATGTGTTTTGAGGATAGTATAAACACATTTCCAGTTCAGGTCTTTGGATTAATAGTTAGCTCTTGCTATCATTGGGTTCTGTGCCTGTGGATTCATCCAACTACCAATCAAAAATATTTAAAAAAAAATATATCTGGGGTTAGAGATGCAACCTAGTAGTAGAGCACTTGCTTACCATGTAAGAGGCCCTGGGTTTGATCCCTAGCACTGCAAAAAGAAAGAAAAAAAAAAAATATGGTGAACACGTACAATGTACAGACTTTTATTATTGTTCCCTAAATGACATAGTATAACACTTACATAGCATTTACATTTTATTAGGAATTTTAAATAATCTAGAGATCACTTAAAGTATACAGGAGAATGCCCATTGGTTGTATGTATATACTACACTACATCATTTTATATAAGGAGTTTGAGCATTCATGGATCTTGGTATCCCCAGGGCATTGGATTTGTTCTGGAACCAGTTCCCCAGATATGCAGGACAATTTTACTTCTCTCTTGGCTAATTTTTGTTGTACTCTTTTGAAATCTGTAAGTATATATCGCCTCAAGTGGAAGTATGACCTTTTCTCTCCTACCTGCTTGGTTTCTAGGACTCTTATGTCTTTTCTGGTTTTCTCCTTTTTTTTATTTTATATTGCCAGTATATTAGTCTGACTATGAATGAAATCACTTGAGGTGTTTTTTCCCTTTAAGAATCTTAAAAAAATGTTTAACATGATTTGGTTTGATTACAGGTATGTGATTTTGGTATTTCAGAAAGTTTGTTGACATACAGAAATTGTGCATAATATCCTTTATCTAAAGTATCTTGTATTATTATCTCCCTCAGCTTTTATGCTTGTTCTGCTGTTTTTTTAAATGACTCATAGTATGCTATGCCTATTCTAAAGGCGAACAGCTGCTTGGAGAACTACAAGTGAAGAAAAGAAAGCATTAGATCAAGCTAGTGAAGAGATTTGGAATGATTTTCGAGAAGCTGCAGAAGCACATCGACAAGTTAGAAAATATGTTATGAGCTGGATCAAGCCTGGGATGACAATGATAGAAATCTGGTAAAAGGAATACATTTTTGTAAGAACATGATAAAAAAAATTTTATTTAAATACTAACTCTGCAGTTATAATGTTTGGCTTTCCTTAACTGTTTGCTCATAAAACTATTTTTAAATAAAGATTCTATAAATATCTACTAAGTTCTTGTATCACTATAATGAGGAAACCAAAAGAGGAGCACACTTGTTTTGTACCGTGGTCTCTCTCTTTTTGCACGTGTATATTCAGGTGCACATGTATTCATTACTAATTTTTATATTCTGTGTAGTAATCTCTTGTGATTTAATAATTCATAATATAAAAATTCTTAGACAGAAAGCATAATTATAGTGCAGTGAAGAAACCAATAAAATTATTTCCCTGATTTTTCACCTTGAGAAATTATTAGTATAAAAGACAGTTCTTTGATTTAGATAATTTAAAAAATACACATCATGAAAAAATAAAATCAACATTTAAACTTATCAGAAACTTATCTCCTAGTAAATAAAATTGGATTGTTTTCTCCAGATATGAAATTTCTTTGTCTTTTATAGATGAGCTATTTTCATATCGTAGTAGAAATTGTTACTTATTTATATCCAGAAAATACTGAGATTGTTCCCAAAAAGTAATGTAAGAGTTTTAGTAAACATTCTGGCCTTACTAATCTATAAGGTATATAAAGGTAAGAATCTAAAAGTAAACAAATTTCATTTTCTTTTTGTTTAGTGAAAAGTTGGAAGACTGTTCACGCAAGCTAATAAAAGAGAATGGACTAAACGCAGGCCTGGCCTTTCCTACTGGGTGTTCTCTCAATAATTGTGCTGCCCATTATACTCCCAATGCTGGTGACACAACAGTATTGCAGTATGATGACATCTGTAAGATAGACTTTGGAACACATATAAGTGGTGAGTTCATGGATATAATTCCTATCTTTTACTCCACCCCCTCAGGAAAAAAACCAGCCACTCCAGAATTATAGTGTTAGATGGAACTATAAATATTGAACTTCCAAATTCTGTTGTTGTCTCCTTTTCAGTAGAGATGTGTTGAGGGAGATTTTTTCTTTTCCTTTAAAGCATCCTACTGAAAATGAAGTCTATTGGGTAATCAAGGTTTATTTTCTTTGTATTGAAGCATAGAAAGTATCCTGTGTTTCTTTAGTCAGGTCATTGTTATATACATTATCTATTCAAATAGTAGAGCCTTTAATTTTTTCAGCTTTGGGGTATTTGTTTACTTTTGTAAACTCTCCCCAAAACCCCAAGTATCTTATTTCTTACTTAACAGGCAAGAAAGCAAACTTAGATGAACTACTTACCTAAGGTTTACTGAATTGGATAGGTAGGATCCAGTGGTTCTATTGGTTTGGTTTATTCATTTTTTTTTGCCCTACATTGTTCTGTATTTCATTGTCTTTTCTTTTTTCTTGCTTCATTTTTATTTCTGTTTGTTCACATAGCTGTCTGAGAGAGTAGTGAATTAATATTACAGTCTAACAGATGAACTCGGGAATTACACATTTCAGTCTGAAATCTTTGTGTACTTCCTCCCCCACCCCCTTTGGTTATGAATGATCTCTGGAAACTAATGCTGCCTTTCTTGAGCCCATCATTATATTTTCCTTTTAACTATCGAGGTTGGTAGATTAAATGCTATAAATTAAATAAGTTGAGTAACTGAATATAAACTTACAGATGAATTGTTGTTCTTTCAGGTAGGATTATTGACTGTGCTTTTACTGTCACTTTTAATCCCAAATATGATGCATTATTAAAAGCTGTAAAAGATGCCACTAATACTGGAATAAAGGTATGTGAACTGTAAGCACCATTTCATAGAACATGTTTTAAGCATTTTATACTCTGTTTTATAGTCTGTGGTGAATTACTTATTTCAGTGCCTCTAGAGTAATAAGTATACCAAAGGCTTTTTTAAAATTCATCTTTTCTAGTATTTATTAAAACTTAAGAGTTTGAATCTATTTTTGCCTGCCAAGTTGGCTGTTTTTTGTTGTGGTTTTTTTTTTTTTTGTAAATAGGCTTTATTTTTTGAGCGGTTTTAGAGTCACAACAAAATTAAGCAGATAGTATAGAGATTTTTCATGTCACCACCTATGTATTACTTCCTCTACTGTCAACATCCCCCAACAAGAGGTACATTTGTTAAAACCAGTGAACCAACATTGACATCATAAACATTCAGATTCCTTAGTTTACATTAGGCTTCATTCTTAGTTTTGTACATTATTTTTTTTTTTAATATTTTTTAGTTGTAGGTGGACACAATACGTTTAGATTTTATTTATTTTTTTATGTGGTGCTGAGTATCAAACCCAGGGCCTCACCTGTGCTAGGCAAGTGAGCGCTCTACCTCTGAGCCACAACCTCATCCCCCTTAGTTTTGTACATTCTGTGGTGAGTTTTTGTTGTTTTGTTTTTCCGAGTTTTTTTGGATTGTATTGGATATTGAACTGAGGTCCTTGTAGATGCTAGGTACTCTGTCACTAAGCCATATCCTCAGCCCCCGTTTTGTGGGTTTTTACAAATATGTAATGCCATATTCACCATTATAGTATCATACAGAATATTTTCACTTCCCTTCAAATCCTCTGATCTGCCAGTTCATCTTTCCTTCCTACAAATCCCTGGTGCAGCCTAGCTTCCCCCAATCACCACCATGTAGTGTGTGAATGTGTGTGTGTGTGTTATAATACATACTACATAACATTTGCCATCTTAACCGTTTCTAAGTATACAATTCATTGGCTTTAAGTACATTCATAATATTTTGCAGCTGTTACCAGCATTCATTTTCATAACTCTTTTCATCTGGTAAAACTGAAACTTCATACTTATTAAATAGTAGCTCCTGATTTTTCCTTCTTCACTAACCCCTGGCAAAAACCACTATATTGTCTTTGATTTTGACTAATATAAGTGCTTTGCTGTGTAAGTGGAATCATAGTATTCATTTTGTGATTAGTTTATTCACTTAGCATAATATCCTCAAGCTTTACTCATGTTGTGACTTGTGTTGGAATTTATAAGACCGAATAATTTATTGTATATCGGGAACAGTATTGACCACATTATATTGTTATATTTTTGAGTGTATGAATATGTAACATTGAATCCCATTTATATTTTTATTTTTATTATTTATTTTAGGTATATGACAGCAGAATACATTTTGATTCATTGTACACAACTGCAGCACAATTTTTCATTTCACTGGTTGTACACCATGGAGCATTGCACCATATGTGTGTGTCATGCGTGTATCTAGGGCAATGATGTCTGTCTCATTTCACCATCTTTCCTGCCCCCAGACCCCCCCTTCCCCACAAGTACAGATATCTTTAAAACACCTTGTTTGTCAGTTCTTTGGGTTATGTACCCAGAAATGAATTACTGAATCATATGGTAATTGTTTTAAACTTTTTGCCATATGGCTCTACATTTTACATTTCCTCTAACCTAACAGTGCATAAAGAAAGGTCTGTAGCTCAGTGGTAGAGTGTTTGCCTAGTATGTGTGAGGAATTGGGCTCAATCCTTGGCACCACATAAAAATAAATAAATAAAGGTATTATGTCCATCTGCAAACAAAAAAGGTTCCAGTTTCTCTGCATCTTTAATTTCACCTATTTATCTGAGTAGTTTTTTTTCATTTTTTTTGGGGGGGGATTATTTTTTGTACCAGGGATTGAACCCAAGGGTGCTTAACCACTGAGTCATATCCCCAGCTCTTTTTATTTTCTGAGGCATGTTTTCACTAAGTTGCTAAGGCTGGCTTTGAAGTTGGAAATTCTCCTGCCTCTGGGATTAGCCTCCAGAGCCTCTGGGATTACAGGCATCTACCACCATGCCTGGTTCTTTTCTTTAATAGTAGTCATCCTAATGAATGTGATGTAGTGTCTCATTGTAGTTTTGAGTTTCAGTTCCCTAATTATTAGTGAGGGGAGCATCTTTTCATTGCTTCCAAGTCATTTGTATATCATCTTGGGGAAGAGATCTATTCAAGTCCGTGCCCATTTTTTAAATTAGGTTGTTTTGTTGTTGAGTTTCAGGAGTCCTCTATATATTCTGAATATCAATCTCTCATCAGGTGATTTGCAAATATTTTCTTCTACTTTGTGAGTTGCCTTTTTATTGTTTTCATATTGATGCATAAAATGTTTTCATGAAGTCCAGTGTTTTTTTTTTTTTCCTTTTGTTGTGGATTTTTGGTATTACATCGAAGAAATTATTGCCCAAATCCAGCATTTTGAAGTTTGTGCCCAGTGTTTGCTTCTAAGAGTAAGTTTTAGGTCTTAAATTTAGGTCTGTTATCCATTTTAACTTTTGGATATAGCATTAGGTGAGGAAGGGTCCATCTTTATTCATTTGTATATGGTTATCCAGTTTTCCCAGCAGCATTTGTTGTAAAGACTGTCTTTTCCCCATTGGGCAGTTTTGGCACACTTGTCCAAAATATTTGACAGTCTGTATGAGTGTTATTTCTAGGCTTTATTCCATCCATCTATGTCTGTTTTATGCAAGTCCCACACTATTAATTACTGTAGCTTTGTAGTAAGTTTTGAAATAGAAGGTATGAATCCTCCATTTTTGTGCTTATTTTTCAAGATTGTTTTGGCTATGCAGCATCCCTTGGGGTGCCATTTGAATTTTAGAGTGGAGTTTTTTATTTCTATGAGAAACACCATTGGGATTTTTGTTGTTGTTGTTGTTGCTGCGGCTTTGGCATGCTAGGCAAGCCCTCTAAAACTGAGCTACATTTTAGTCCCACCATTGAGATTTTGATGAGGATTGCATTTAATCTGTAGATGGCTTCAGGTAGTATAAATGTCTTAATCTTAAGTAATACAGTTTGTGGACATGGAATATGACTTCGTTTATGTCTCTTAAAATATCTTTCAACAATGTTTTGTAGTTTTCATTATATAGGATTATTTCCTTGCTTAAGTTAATTTCTTTCAGATTGTTAAATGTATAGAAATGCAACAGACTTTGTGTTCAACTTTTTTATATCCTCTACTTTGCTGAATTTGTTAGTTTTTATAGGGTTTTTATTTATTGTTGTGGAATCTTAGGGTTTTCTACCTGTAACATCATATCATCTGTAAACAGAGATAGTTTTACTTCTTTCTTTCCAATTTAGATACCTTTTGTTTCCTTTTCTTGCTTAATCTGATTTGAACTTCCAGGGTTGAATAAAAATATCAGTGTAGTCCTTCTGTCTTGCCTTACTTTTGGTCTTAGAGAAAACATTTTTGCTGTTGAGTATTGTGTTTACTGTAGATTTCTTATAGGCACCTGACTTTTCATATGTTGAAGGTGGTTTCCTTCTACTCTTAAATATATACATATTCTTTCCTTCAGTGCCGAGTATCAAACCTAGGGTCATGCATGTGTTAGCCAAGCACTCTTATCACTGAGCTACATACCCAACCCTCCTTCTGTTCTTAATTTGTTGAGTATTTTTAATCATAGAATTACATTGAATTTTGACAAATGCTCCCTCCTTCCCCCCTTTTCAGTATTGGGTTGGAGATTAAACCTAGAGTCTTATACATACTGGGCAGGTACTATGCTACTGAGCTACATCCCTAGTCTGTTTTGATTTTATTTGGAAACAGGCTTTTGCTAAGTTGCCCAGGCTGGCCTTAAACTTGCCATCCTCCTTCCTTAGCCTTCCAAATAGCTAGGTTCATAGGATGTGTTACAACCACCATGCCTAGCTGTCAGATGCTTTTTATGCACGAAGATAATCATGTACTTTTCTCCCCTTCAAATTTGTATGTTTACATTGATTTTTATATGTGGAACTACCTTTGCATTCCAGGAGTAAATCTCACTTAGTCATGGTATGTAATCCTTTTAATATGCTGTAGGATTAAGTTTGGTAATATTTGTTGAGGATTTTGTATAAAGTGTTTATTAAGAGATACTGATCTGTAGTTTTCTTATAGTGTCATTGTTTTGCTTTTATATCAAATTAATGCTGATCTCATAAGATAGGTCATTCTGTCCTTTTCAATTTTTTGAAGAAATTTGAGAAGGGTTGGTATTAGTTTTTGTTTTGAGGTTCTGTGGATTGAAACCATGACTTTGAGTATCCTAGCCAAGCTCTCTATCATTCTGCTGCACCCCCAGTATTGTTTAAGTGATAGAATTCATAGTGATGCCATCAGATCCAGGAATTTTCTTTGTCAGAAGAATTTTGATTACTGATTCAGTTTCCTTAGTAGTTACAAGTCGATTCAGATTTTGTATTTCTTTATGATTTAGTCTCAATAGGTTTTGTGTTTAGGATTTTGTCCATTTCATCCAGGTTATCTACTTGTAAATGTGTGGTTGTTTGTGGTTCTCTCAGAATCATTGTTTTATTTCTGTAGAATCAATAGTAATATTCCACTTTCTCATTTTAGTAATTTAAGTTTTTTTTCCTTAGTCTATCTAGAGAATTATCAGTTTTGTTAATCTTTTTTTTTTTTTCTATTTTCTCTAATTCATGTATCTTTGCTCTAATTATTTCCTTCCTTCTGCTAGTTTTGGGTTTAGTTTGTTTTTCTTTTTCTAGAAAGTTCCTTAACTGTTTTGTCCCATTGTCCAATTGTGGACAACCTATAGAAACTTAAATACAGTATATACTACATAATAATAATGAATGTAATTATAATAATACATAAGCTCTAGATTATGATTTCTAACATATTTTAGTGCACCTGTGTCTATTTTGTTGAAATAGTCACAGAATTGAAAACTTGACACTTAATGGGTTAAATTGTAATATTATGTTATTGATTTGAGATCTTTTTTGTTTTGTAATGTAAGCACTTATAGCTATAAATTTATCCATTAGTACTGCTTTTATTGTATCCCATAAGTTTTGGTATGTTGTGTTTTCACTTTGCTTTTCCCTGTTTTTTTTGAATCTCTGTATGTTGCCCAGTCTGGCCATGAACTTCTGGGCTCAAGTGATCCTCCTGCTTCATTCTCCTCAGTAGTTGGGACTACAGGCGTGTACCTGCACCGGGCTTGTATTTTTATTTTCTAATTACCCTCCTGATGTCTTCTTTAATCTATTAGTTTTTTTAAGAATGTATTGTTTAATTTCCACAATTTTGTGAATTTTCAAGATTTAATTCCATTATTAATTTTTCTTCACCTCATTGTTATTGGAGAGGATAACTTGGATGGTATCTATCTAATCTAAATTATGGTGAGACTTAATATATGGCCTAACCATATATTCTATCTTGGAAAATGTCCTTTATGTACCTGAGAAGTATACATGTTCTCTGTTGTAGAAATTCCAACTGTGTGTGTATGTCTGTTAGATCTAGTTTATTTATTAAGTCCTCTTGTTTATCTTCTGTTGGGTTTGTTTTATTTGTTAGTGAGAGTATAGTATTGACATTTCCAGCTGTTATTGGAGATTTGTCTGTTAATCCTTTCAGTTCTGTTAGTGTTTGCTTTGTATATTTTAATGGTCTGTTATTGGTGTTTATAATTGCTATATCTTGTTCCATTGAACCTTTTATTGAAATTTGATGTCTTCCTTATCTCTCCTTGCCTTTGTTTGCTGTCATTGTTTTTTAAGTTTTATTTTGTTGGATATTGGAGTAGCTGTTTTGGTTACTGTGTGCATAAAATGTCTTTTTCTATGTTTTCATATTCAGTTTATTTATGCCTTTGGAGCTAAGCAGATTTCTTAGATATATAGCATGTAGTTAGATCATGCGTTTTTATGCATTCTGCTAATCTGTGACTTTTCATTGAGAGTTTAATCCATATTACTGATAAAGGAAGGTATGGTTTCATTTTGCTATTTTTCTGTATAACTTGTAACTCTTTTGTCTCTCATTTCCTACATTGCTCTCTTTGTTTAATTGATGTTTTTGTAATGAAATGTTTACTTCTCATTTCTTTTTTGTGCCTATTCTATAGATATTTTCTCTATGGTTACCATGAGGATTACACTTAATATTTTAAAGTTAAATCCTCAATGTGAATTTTTTTGAACCATGTACACATTTTCCAACTTAAATTTTTACCACGATACATACCATAATAACATTTAGATTAAAACTAAGTTTTAAAAAATATCTTAGTTATGTCATGTAAAAAAGAAAAAGTGGAGTTAGAAATCATCATTAGACTAATGGTAGCAATTAGTTCTTCATATGATTGAGTTACTGTCTAGTGCCCTTTCATTATATACTTTGTGGGACTTCCTTGAGCATTTCCTACATGGTAAACCTAGTAGTACTAAACTCTCTCAGCCTTGTTTATCTGGGAATGCCTTTATTTTTCTACCTTACTTTTGAAAGACAAGTTTGCTGGATATAGAATTCTTAGTTGACAGTTTTATATTTTAGCATTTTGAATATATAATCTTACTACCTTCTTGCCTTTGGAATTTCTGATGAGAACTCTGCTTATAATCTAATTGAAGATTCCTTATATGTACTGAGTCATTTCTTTCTTGTTGCTTTCAAGATTCACACTGTCTCTAGAAAGTTTTTATTACAGTGTGTCTTGGTATATAGGTCTCTGAGTTTATCTCTTGGCATTTATTAAACTTCTTGAATATTTGTGTCTTTCATCAAATATGGTAGGGAACAGACATTTTTTCTTTACATTCTCTCTCTGCCCCTGTTTCTCTTCTCCTTCTGAGACTCCTACAGTGCATATATTGGTCTAGTTGATAGTAACCTATGGGTCCTCTTATCTTCAGTTTTGGTGATCCTTTCTTTGTATTTCTGCCAATGATGGACACTCTTTGTTAATATGATGCTGTTGGTTAATAAACATTTGTGTACAAGTTAAAAAGGAATCCTTCTCACTAGAAAGATTTTCATTTTGGTTACTGCACTTTTTTTGGTTTCCTTAAGGTTTTTTAAATCTCTTGATATCTCCATTTTGTTCATACATTTTTTTGTTGGACTTCATATCTTCCTTTAATTCTTGGGACAACTTTAAGGTAGTGGTTTTAAAGTCTTTGTCCAGTAGATCTCCCTCACATCTCTTTCAGAATAGTTTCTGCTGATTGATTTGTTTCCTTTGAATGGGCTACTTTTTCCCAATTTGTATGCAAACTGATCCCCACCCCCCTTTTTGTAGTTATAGATGGACAGAATGCCTTTATTTTATATGTTTATTTTTATTTGGTGCTAAGGATTGAACCCAGTGCTTCACACATGCTAGGCAAGCGCTCTGCCACTGAGCTACAGCCCCAAGCCCTCTTCTCTTTCTTTATTGCAAGTGTTCCCTGTCAAGAGTCCTCCTGCTATGTAAACTTAAGGTCTTCTCAGATTTTTTCTGGGCATTTTCCCCTGGGTATGTGTGCTCCCCTTTTAATGATCTCATATATTGCTTTGAATGTACTGATCTTTAATGTTTATCTCCTAAAAGAGGAAAAAGACAAAAGTGAGGAAGTTAGGAAGTCCAAGGTGTGTGTGTGTGTGTGTGTGTGTGTGTGTGTGTTTGGTGGTGGTGCTGGGGATTGAACCCACAGCCTGGAGCATGTTAGGCAAGCAACTCTACCACTGAGCTGCGCCCTCAGCCCCCTCCAAGATATTTGAGACAGTTTCTTTTCTGCTACTTCTGGCTTAGCCCAGCTGTGTGGAGGTTATTATAGGAACCACCTGATGCTTCCCATGCAGGTTTTAACTTCAGTAGATTTCCAGCATTTCCATAGGTCCATCAGATAGATTTTGCCAATGCTTTTGTTGTCTGGGTAGGGACACATATTTCTGGTACAAATTCCTGATTATATGTTCCTTACATTGCTCAGAAACAAACCACATCATTAATTTTATTATAGTCAAAGAAACTTGGGTTTACTCCTGGTGTTTCTTATTTCACCATCTTTCCAGAATATTCCCCAAAGTCTTTTATACAGGTATTTATGATGTACAAAGCAGTTTTTCTGATTGTCCTTTATTTTTAAATACTAAGAAATTAAGTCACTGCATAACTTTACTCTGTGAAAAACAAAGTTTACTTTATTCTTTTTTTAGTGTGCTGGAATTGATGTTCGTCTATGTGATGTTGGTGAGGCCATCCAAGAAGTTATGGAATCCTATGAAGTTGAAATAGATGGGAAGACATATCAAGGTATGGTCTTTAAAAATGTATCTTATTTTGAAATTAATTTTTTCAAACTACTGTTGATTGCTTTCTTTGGATCAACTCTTAGGTGCATGCTAGAAGTACTATGGTCACTGACAAGTCATCTGGGAAATTATTCTAAGGTAGCCAAAATTTGAACTAATTTCTATAACTAGTAAAATCAAGGATTAGGGAAAAGCCAGAGTCCCTTTCTACTGATGCTTCTCCCAATATTTCTGGTGTGCTGCATTCATTTCCATCAGTTCAGCCTTCTTCCAGCTCCCAGATTCTATCTGACCATCCCCAGCCATAGTTCTTCCTGATCTGTGCTTATGACTCTCTATAACTCTGTTCTAATAATTTTCTTGCAGACTATTTCTTAACCACGTCTGTTTGTCATTTGTGGACTTTTGAGTGGAGGCTCGTCCTGCTTCCTTGTCTCTCAGTAAATTCATGTCATTCAGTCATGTCATCCCTCTAGGTATTACCAGTTACCTGATAACTCAATGGCTCTCGTCTCCATAACAGTCCTTTCCCATGTGTGAATACTGAAACTTACCACCAGTCTTGTTCTCTTAGACAACTATTAGTCTTTTTTTTTTTTTTTTCTCCAGCTATTTAATTTCCCTTACTGTAAATGTCTTCCATTTCCGTTTTTTATAACCTTTGGGGGCTAGGGGTGTACTTCAAGTGGTAGAATATGTATGCTTAGCATGCATTAGGCCCTGGGTTCGATCCCAACACCCCCTTCCCCCCCCAAAAAAAAATGTACACACACACATATATTCATTCCCTCTGGTGGGACACTCTCTCGGTTGCATCATGGTTGAATGTCCTTTCTCCTGCCTAGCCCTCATGTCAGTGTTAATTCTTCTCTTTCATCTGTACCTTCAACTTCATTATTTCTATGACTTTCATGCACATTTAGTCACTAGCCCTCAGAACATCAGTTGAAGCCGGAATACTCTAAGGCTGTTAACCGTTGGAGAGGAAATATTGTGAGATAATGAAGAAACGAACTTTGAGGTTAGACATGTCTAACTTTGATCTTAGATAAATCCTATAACCTGTAAGTACCCAAGTTTCTTTGACTATAGGATTAATCATGGGATTTGTTTTTGAGAAATATAACAGTTCCTGGAACTTAGGCACTCAGCAAATACTTGTCATTTCTCCCTATTCTTTCCCCCAGTTCTGGATGTCTCATGAATATAGTCCTTGGTCAAGATCCTCTCAAGTCTTTTTTTTCCTTCTCTCAGGAAATTACTTTCTTGAAGAGAAAAATAACTAAAGAAACCAAATATCCCTTAATTTTTGCCCTGATGCAAAAAGAAAATCATACTTCTTCTCTGTTCTTATAATTTTATCACTCTTATTTGAAGAAAAAGGATCTTTTACTCAGCATTAATCCTGACACCTTAATAGCCCTCTCCTACGTTCTCTGTCTTTCCCCAGAAGCTCAACTGAAAAAAAATATTTGGAAGAGCTGAAAGTCATAGGATTAGATTACCTCCCATAATTTATATATTTTGTTTCTGGCTTTTATTATGTGAAATTTTTAAAAGCTTAATTCATATGAAAAGCAGTGGATTTAAATTAGCTCGTCCCTTAGTTAAGGGTAAAGCTTCTTTTCCAGGTTGCTTTTCTTTGTGAAATATTGTTTTCCCGGTTCTTTTTAAGAAGTTAGAAACTGTTTTAGGATTGGCTATTTATGTTATGCCTCAGACACGAGCTTCCCAGAATTATTTTCTGTCCATGGATAAAACGGAAATTAAGAGAATAAATGCCAAATTATTTTGAGGTATTTGTGGGGTCTATAAGTTTGGCCTTCTGGTTTCTAGGTTCGTTGCCATCATCTAATGAAGAGTGTTTTTTTCTTTCCGAATTTGTGACTCTTTTCTTTCCGAATTTGTGGCAACCTGTACTGAATAGCAGTATGCGTGAAAAGTACTTCTAGACTGAATTGAGAATTTGTGAAAATTCTTGGAAATTCCAATATTAGCCAGCATTACACCAATGTCCTCCATTTTTACAGTTTGTTCTCTCACAATTCTGCAGTTTGTTGGCATGTGATCTGCCTTTCAAGTTGTAATAGATGACAATTTGATTTACTGTGTAGTTCTAACCTTCATTATTATTAGGATCCTTAATACCTGTTTTCTTGTCTCTTTCACTAAGCTAATGCAACAGTTTAGGTTGTATTATTTCAGCACCTATTTAGATACTTCTTAGAGTATTAATAAAGGTTCTTAGTTAGAAGGCAACAATTTATTTTTACTAATTTAAGCAGAAAGCATATTAGAAAAATAATGATAATAGAAAGATAAAGAAATAGACTTTGTTCTAAACTTTTAGGAGTACTTGCCGCAGTCTGGCTGGGCACAAATGCCACAGTCTGGCTGGGCACACTATCACGAGCCACCACACAGCTTGTAGATTCAAACAGCAACTCTTTATTCCCGAACTCACACCAGCCGTCTACAATCACATTCTGGGGAAATCCACGTTCTCTGCCCAAATCCCCCTCCACTGGGCTTCTATCTCCAAAATATATTGTCTGAATCCCGTGAGAACTCAAGGGGAACTCAGGCAGCAGGATACGCCCTATTCCCAGCAGGAATAATCTTAAACCTTAAACCTGGAACCTAAACTGGGAACGCCCTAAACAGGATTATCTTAAAACCGGGAACACCCTAATCTGCCTTGGTCCTTGAGCAAGGTCACTTACATTCAATGTCACTGCAACATGTCAGCAACATGGGGTACGCTGGCAAGGAAATTGTCATACCTACTTGGCTAATGGCTCCCAGCAAGTACTCATTCCAAAAACCACATAGCAGAACTGGGTCATCAGGGAAGTGCCTTTGATCAAGAAACCAAAGGATTGGAAAGTTTACTTTTAAAGCTATTGGCATCAGAATTAGTCTACTTCTGTCACAGCATGTATAAATAAAAATGAGTATCCCTGTACCATTTCTGTCTCTGAAACTGGTATATTCTAGGAAGGTGTAGCCAAGAAACTTCTTAAGATAAAAATGTTTTTGATAGGCTTGTGTGGTCAGTTTGCCAGGCAGGTCTTTAGAGTAATGAGGTTTAAATTTTAAAATAAAAACAGATTATTTTGTATAAGAGGAATTAAAAAGCTAATTGTTTTTCTTTTTTACATAACCCGCCCTAACTTTGCATTTTACACGTCATTTAACTGTTAACAGTTTTTAAAAAGTCTTACTTCCTGGGTCAGGGATATGGCTCACTGGTAAAGTGCTTGCCTAGCAATGCATGAGGCACTGGGTTTGATCCCTGGCACCACATAAAAATAAATAAAATGAAAGTATTGTGTTCATCTACAATTAAAAAAAAATTTTTTTTAAATCTTACTTTCCAATTCTCCTCCAGAATAAAGGTAGCTTTATACTGGAGATTCTAAAACTATAGAAATAGATTTTTCTAAACTTTTTCTTTTTTTTAATTGTGAAGTGTAGTTCTGTAAATGCACAAAACAAAAATTCAACATCTCAAATGCCAAAAACTATGATCTTATCCTTTGAAAGAAAAGACTGTTACCAGCATTCTAGAAGCCTCTCAATCCCGTTGCTTAGTCTATTTTGTGCTAGTATAACAGAATACCTCAGACTAGGTAATTTTTATAAAGAAATTTATTCATTTCTCGTCGTTTTGGAAGCTAGGAAGTCCAGGATTAAGGGGCCATCATCTAGTGAAGGACTTCTTCTCGTGTCAGCCCATGGCTTGAAGGGCAAAGGGAGGGTGGGAACAGAGGAGTGAGCCAGTGTGCACACAGAAGAGCCTTTTTATAAGGGATCCACTCCCTTGATAGTGGTATTGACCTGTACATTCATTAAGGTGGTGTCACCGTGACCAAATATCTTCGATTAGGCGTCACCTTCCAATACCACTGCATTGGTAATCATTTCCAAATACATGAACTTTAGAGGACATATTCACACCATAGCACTCACGTGCCTTTCCAGTTGCAGCAGTCTTCCTCTAGTAAACTTCCTCTAGTCTTGGGAACTGGAGTATTTTATTTGCTTTACTAACTATTCATCAGTAAACAGATGAAGTATGCTTAATTTTGAACTCATAAACATATGGAGTTGTAGAGCGTATATATAGTTGTCCTTTTTGCTCATTTTATCTTTGCATTTCTTCTACTTATTAAATGTATCCCTAGCTTGTTGCTTTTATTGTTGTATAATATTCCTTTGTGTAACTATGCCATGATTTGTCTATTCTGTCACTGTTTTCAGGACATTGAGATTTAGATTTTAATATATACATATATATATATTTGAAATGTTGATGTAACAATAAAATTTAACATTTATTAAAATTGGCACAGTATTCTTGCTTTTGCCATAATCATGTAGATAAATATTTTTGGCTTTTAATCATTTGCATACATGGTACTTTTTTAAAAAGTATTTTTTAGTTGTTGGACCCAATGCATTTTATTTATTTATTTTTATGCAGTGCTGGGGATCAAACCCAGGGCCTTGCGCTTGCTAAGCAAGCACTTTACCACTGAGCTACAACTCTAGCCCACATACGTGACACTTTTATACTGATTTATAACTTCTTATATGACTCCTAATGTGTCATCCTGTGATCTTTTTCCATTCCCTCTTAAATTCTTTTAAATTAATAACTGCAATAAACTATATGTTCAGGCAGCAGAATACAACAGACACTAGTATGGCAATATGTAAATCAATGGATGTGTAACTGATGTGATTCTGCAATCTGTATACGGGGTAAAAATGGGAGTTCATAACCCACTTGAATCAAAGTGTGAAATATGATATATCAAGAACTATGTAATGTTTTGAACAACCAACAATAAAAATTAAAAAAAATAAAATAAAATAAACTATATGTTCCACTAGAGTCCAGTTTATATCTAACTACTTTAGGTGTGAGGTTATTTAGTAGAGCCATTCCTTATTTTTTAAGCAATGCCTTAACTCTGTACCCAAAAGGCCAAGGATCTGCTTGTCCTACTAGATACCCTGAATAACACTTACTTCCCTATTTATTATGACAGTGAAGCCAATCCGTAATCTGAATGGACATTCAATTGGGCCATATAGAATACATGCTGGGAAGACGGTGCCCATTGTGAAAGGAGGGGAGGCAACAAGAATGGAGGTATGTAAATCATTAACACACTTCCATGAAAAGTATTTGGATTTTTTCTTCTTTGGGGGGAGTGTGTACTGGGGATTGAACTCAGGGGCACTCAACCACTGAGCCACATTCCCAGCCCTAGTTTGTATTTCATTTAGAGACAGGGTCTCACTGAATTGTTTAGTGCCTCGCTTTTGCTGAGGCTGGCTTTGAACTCAAGATCCTACTGCCTCAGCCTCTTGGGTTACAAGCCAGTAGGATTTTTTTCTTCCAAAACTCATGGTAGTTAAACAAAATTTGAACTCATTTTGTTGAACAAAATGAGTTTACTGTTCATACTTGCCTGGACAGAAATTGGGATGTTTGTACAAACACACATCTGATCAGATCAGATCAGAGCCCAGTCTGCTGTGGAAGCTGGGCCTTCCAAAGTGTTTTTCAACATTTAATGAATGTTTACTGAGCATCTCCTAGGTACCAGTCTCAAATTTATTTCACGGTGCTATGGATTGAACCCAGGGCCTCACACATCCTAGCCACCCACTATTATCACTGAGCTCTATCCTCTGCTCTTTTTCAGATAATGTCTTAGTTGCCTAGGCCTTGAACTTGCAGTCCTCCTGCTTCAGTCTCTCAAGTACCTGGGATTACAAGCAGATGCTACCATGCCTGGGTCCAATCTTTTTAGTAGTCACTGGTGGTATAGCAGTAAACAAAATTCCCTGCATTTTAATAAGGAATGCAGAAAGATCAAAATTTGCTTAGGAGATAAGGCAGGGAAAGGTTGAATGAAGACTGCTGCTGCAGGGTGTTTCATGTTGCATTAGGTGGGAAGTCAAGAGATGGTAATTGCAACTAGTTCTGAATTTCTCTTTTTTCCTTGACCCGTATGTATTTTTGAAGGAAGGAGAAGTATATGCCATTGAGACCTTTGGTAGTACGGGAAAAGGTGTTGTGCATGACGATATGGAGTGTTCACATTACATGAAAAATTTTGATGTTGGACATGTGCCAATAAGGTAAGAGACATTGATTTATAATTAATATATCTCTTCTCAATTAACAGTATTTCTAAAAATAATGACAAACATAAGGGTATACATTTGTAAATGTACACTTATATAAGTTGAGTTTCTACAATATAGTATTAGAAAGATTAGCCTGTTAAAAATTTTTACCTGAGATGAAAGTTATATGGGCAAGTGTCTGATAATTATAATAATGTCCAATTATTTTGCTAGCTAGTTAGTATTTCCTAGGTTTTTGGTCTTAGTATTTTCCCATTGTTAAAGTTATTTCAATTTACATTGCCTTTTTTTTAACCTTTTTATATAAGATGATTAAAGGTTGGATTTCCACCTCCTTTTATGTGTGGTTTTTGAGCTTGGTGCACAAAAGGGAACTTCCATGACTCTGTAGACTAGTACACTAGGAGTCTCACACACATGTCCATACACACCATGTAGCTGGTTTCCTAATCAGCTGCTATATATAATTAAGGATGGGCTATTACACATTCCAGCTTTTGATTCTTGAAAGAGTAACAACGAAAGTTTCTGAAGACTCAGCTAAGGTTTGGGTTTTTCCTAATGGGGAAAATGAGTTGGTAATTCTTGCCAACCATTAACATTGGACTTTCTTTTCTTAGGCTTCCAAGAACAAAACACTTACTGAATGTCATCAATGAAAACTTCGGCACCCTTGCCTTCTGCCGGAGATGGCTGGATCGTTTGGGAGAAAGCAAATATTTGATGGCTCTGAAGAATCTGTGTGACTTGGGCATTGTAGATCCATATCCACCATTATGTGACATTAAAGGATCATACACAGCACAGTTTGAACATACCATACTGTTGCGTCCGACTTGTAAAGAAGTTGTCAGCAGAGGAGATGACTATTAAACTTAGTCCAAAGCCACCTCAACATCTTTTATTTTCTAAGCTTTGTTGGAATACATTATACCAGAATTAATTTGCAACATGTTGTCTGTTTTAACAGTGGACCTGTGTAATACTTTTATCCATGTTTAAAGGAATTTGATCAAAGGCAAACTGTCTAATGTAATTAACAAAGGAAAAAGCTTTCAGGACTTTACAATGTTAACTGTTTCCCCCACCCCCCGTCTAGGAAATGCTATAAAGCTCAAATTAGTTAGGACTGACTTATACATTTTGTTTTGAACACCTAAGAGATGCTTTTTGGATATTTATATTGCCATATTCTTACTTGAATGCTTTGAATGACTACATCCAATTCTGCACCTTTGCCCTCTGGTATTGCTTTTTAACCTTCCTGGAATCCATTTTCTAAAAAATAAAGACATTTTCAGATCTGAGAGCTACATTTCAATGTCTGTGGTTATAATTTGAACAGGAAGTAGCTAAAACTTTCAAGGCATTTTATCTGGACTGTAGACTACACCGAGAGGTTCTGACATAATGGCTAAAATAAGATCTTCATGTACATTAAATGGAACAATAATCTTTTCATTCACCGGTATACAGTTTTATAAGATTTTACCTCTTATTGAACCAGATTAGTACCTCTCATTTTTTTCTGATGTTGGAAAAAATGTACTAATTGAAACATAACTAAGTAGGAACATTTCGCCAACTTGAGAATCATTGATTTAGTGAAAAAACCTACAAACATTTCATTCCTTTGTTTAGTGGTAGTTATCAGGAGGTGTTTTCAGCTTATATGATAAGGGTATTAAAGCTACAAAAGCAAAGGAAGAACTCCCATGTTCAGATCTTGTTCTAGTTAGAAAGGTGAAACTGAAATTAGGGTTTTTCATTAGTGAGTCAAATGCTGTTAACACTCTGTTCCTTAGCTGATTTGGATTCTTAGTATCGAGATTGGCCATTTCAGGAAATGAGGTTACCAGTACCCTTCTTACAGCAGCTAAATGCGTTAAGTTGAATGTAAGGATGCATAACATTTACTTGTTTGAACTGGACCCCACTACTGATTTCTTAATTGCTTGAATTCTTATATGTGATTTGTTCCAGCATAATTTCAATATTGTTATGTGCCAAGGTAAAGCCTTAATTTGTATATGCTTTTTAGCACAATGAGATTTTATTGCCTCTGGGATGCTTGTTTAGTTTGTATTTTGTTTACCTTTTTCTCTTAAGGAGAAAGCTATGACTTATGTACTTAAGATTGTTACATTGAAAAGCTGCTTTCAGCATTAGAGCTATAAATGAATGTTATCTTTTGAGAAAAACAATCTAGTTTTTAGCTGTAAAAGCTATGTTTATTATGGTGCTAATGTAATAGCTACCTTTGAATAATTTCTTCATTTTCTGTGATGCTGTTCAAGCAGCAGAGCTCACCAGTTTTGTGTGGACACATTGTAGGGCTTGGGCCCTCCAGCTAGCTCCTTTGGGGTTTTGAATCCATATGTTTATATGCTTTGGTGGGAAATACAAAACAAGTATTTTGATTTCTAAACCCAGGATTTTAAAAACTGATCCAAGGAAGAATTTCGGAGCTGAAAGACCTTTTTAGCAGTAGTGATCTATAACTATATATGCTCCATGCTCCTTTCCCAGCTAACTAGTGGGAGCTGCCCCTGGAATGGATGCGATCTTGTAAATAGGAAAGCTGTCACTTAAAAAAAATTGTATGTTTGCCTACTAGCCATGTATCTCTTGAAATCATTTTGTTATGTGTACAATGATGTACCTTATTGGTAAAATTAGTTTGATGTTTAACAATAGTGCCTTTAGTAAATTATTTTACAACCAAATATGTTGTTTTTTGTTAGACCAATTTAGGAGAATGTAGAAACCCATGTTGATATTTGAGATATTTAGTGAGAAATCTAAAATTTGTTCATTTAAAAATAGATTTTAGTTTCTTGTTTGCTAATATTATAATTTTTAGACCAGTTTTAGATTCACAGCAAAATCTAATGGAAAATACTGCAGATTTCCCATATACCCTCTGTGGTCACACAGGTGTTAAATTTTAAGACTGCTTTGTGTGTGTGTGTGTGGAGTACTGGGCATTGAATCCTGGGCCTCTCAATGCTAGGCAAGTGTTCTAGTGCTGAACTACAGCCCTTTTTTGAGAGATCTCGGATTGCTCAGGCTGGCCTGGAATTTGTGATCCTCCTGCATCGTCATCCTGACTAGGGATTTCCAGGCATGTACCACCACAACCAACTCTCTCCCATGTATTTTTACACTGAAATAAAAGCAACTATACCTTTTTTTGGCAGGTGGGTAATTAGGGATTGAATTCAGGGGCATTCAACCATTGAGCCACATCCCCAGCCCTGTTTTGTATTTTATTTAGAGACAGGGTCTCACTGAGTTGTTTATTGCCTCCCCTTTGCTGAGGTTGGCTTTGAGCTCAGGATCCTCCTGTCTCAGCCTCCTGAGATGCTGGGATTACAGGCGTGCGTTATAAACGACATAACCTTATTTATCCTAAGAGCCCATTAAAATTAGGTGCAAATTTAAAACAGTACTTGAAATTAATAGATAAACTCAGATATCTTGACCACATAAATCTTTAATGAGGTATAAGAATATATAACAATAGAGGTAACAACTTGCATAGGTGTTCAGAAAATGAACAGTTTTAAACCTAGTCATTTATGTTCCAGCTGTATTTTTGGCACAAATAATTTGTTCAGTGATAAATTCTCATAGCACTTTGTTATCAACTTCCCCAGATGACATGTGAAACTTAAATGTGCTAATGGAGGTCTCTTTCAAGTTTATACTTACATACAAGCACTAGTGGCCAAGAGCATTCTACAGGATGATATTTTTCATTAGATTTCAAGCTGCAAATAAACCCACTTAAAGGGACAAATCATCTTCTAGCAATTAACACTGTGCTTAAGATCTTACAGAACTGATGTGCAGAGTTTAGTGAAGTTCCCTTCTGAGTAAGGGAGCAGCAGTAGGACTTAAAAAGACATCTAGTGAGATTATTAGAGAAGAGTAAAGTGAGTGTCTCACAGTTTTTAGTAAAATTCAAGTTCAGGTAATTTTTTTTTTTTAAAGATTGGGGCCCCCTGTTTAAGTGGTTTCCAGTAGTCACATAATCCTAGCAAGAGTAAAAAATCCAGGCTTCAGTTTTTTAGAAAAATGAGACACTAGGTATATAAACCAGTTGCCAATTTTGAATTTTCCTTCTCTACCTATGCAGTTTTTTGAGACTTCTTATTCCTTTGAACTAAACATCTCAAGTATACAAAGCTTTAAGAAATCTAACGTTATCAAATATAAAATAAACACATACCCAGGATAAACTACATTTGTATTACATCATATTGTTTTGCTAAATTCAATTTTTTTAATGACTGCTTTATTAGAATCTGCCTTATTAGAATCTGTTTGCTGCCGACAAATCATAAGTCCCAGCCATCATTTTTTCATGTCCTTAGTTGCAAAGTTCACTTAATACACCATTTGTAAATCTGCCATTTTCATTTAAATGCAGATTGACTCTGCCAAATAAAGAACAATTACTGAAACAAAATTTACAAGATATCTTTTGAGCCCTGTAATGCATGAAGCCTCAGGAACATCAGTGAGTATGACTGCTGAGTATTAAGGTGATATCTGGATATTTCACTTTCATTATATAGTTTAATTCTCTTCAAGGGGCAGATATTCAATACACAAATAGCCTGAAAGAAATAACTTCGTTTGGTTAAGACATTGTGAAGAAAGTGTCTAATTTTCCATCTATTTTGAATTTGTATAGAAAATAGTTACAAAAGGTAAGTAACAAATGTATATAAAATGCCTCCCAAATTTTTTTAGTAGATTGCACAAATTCATGATATGAGCCAATTAAGACATCAAAATAAGAGGTAACACTAGTCTGAGGTAAACACTAAAAGTTTAAAACTGAGTACTTGAAAAAAGTTTAGTTCCCTGCAGTTGATACACTGTCTCTGTAAAAAAATAAAAAGTTGTCATAAATACAAAATGTAAATGTAGTGTGCACTGATTTCAAAATAAAAAAAAAATACAATGAAGCTCAAAATTTTAAGTCAGCCCTTTTAAAAAGTATATATACAAATTGCAAGAAGAAAGCCCTACTATCTTTGGATCAGTTAAGGATTTCATTAGAAGAGGTATCAGCTTCTTCATTGGTATGTTGGCTACTAGACAGGAGCTCTGGAGACAAGAGTTTAGAATGTCCATTCTCAGTAACTCGCTGGGTATAAAACAAGATATAAGCTTGGGCCTTGCATACTTCATCCATAGTGCACATGCTTAGCTTGGAATCATTGCAGTGTACCCAGAACCCTAGAGTGAAGCATAGAAATAGGATGTTTATAAAGGAACCTCAGAAGTTTCTAGTATAAAAAGCTAAATTTTACTGAAAGTTAAGCTTTTTCTGAAAGAAAAATAATTTTCTCAGCAATTAATTTCTCCAATGAGAAATACAGCTCATGTAATATGTTACAGTATGTAACTAACTCCTGGTAATTCAGTGTTGAAAAATGGGAATAGTGAAATGTCTAATCCAATCACTTCTGATAGGATTATACTGTCCCTAGAAGGGTCATGGAGACAACAAATAAAACTACATTATGTATATTAAACTTGTACTCTTTAAGTTTGTTCTGTATATCTGTGATCTGTGTGTTAGATGTTAACAAAATGAACTGAAGTAAAAGGAATAAACATAGGACCCTGCTATTGGAAGCATGTCTTTAAGAAAAGTATACATTCTGACTTTTAATTAGCAAGACCACCTTCAGTATTGTGTCCCCCAAACCCTTAAATCCTCAAAAGTATTTCAGACTTTCAGAAAATATACTATTACTGCAAACCTTATGAAAATACAATTATTTTCTACACAACCTCTCCTCACCCCACCCCATCCCCTTTTTTTCCCCCCAGTACTGGGAATTAAACCCAAGGTCTTTTTGGTACTGGGGATTGAACCTAAGGGTGCTCTACCACTGAGCTATGTCCCTAGTGCTTTCTGAGGCTGGCCTTGAACTTGTAATCTTGCTGCCTCAGCCTCCCTAGTCCTGGAATTTCAGGTGTTTGCCAGAGCCCCTGCCCCCCACCCCCTTTAAACTAGCATACTTAAGAAACATTCTTTTTCTTTCTTTTCTCTCTTTTTCTTGGAATTGAACTCAGGGGTACTTAACCATTTAGCCACATCCCCAGCCCTTTTTTGCATTTTATTTAGAGACAGGGTCTCACTGAGTTGCTTAGGGCCTTGCTAAATTGCTGAGGCTCACTTTGAACTAGCAATCCTCCTGCCTCAGCCTTCTAAGCCGCTGGGAACTACTCCCAGCATTTCAGAAACATTCTAAGGAGAAAAGTGGTCAGGTGGCTTTGTTTAAGATTATCTAGTGGCCAACTTACAAATTGCTAAAGCCTGAAATCCAGCATCCAAGTCTAACCCAAGATAAAATAACTTTTCCTATCTATACCTCCTTCAGAGTTATAGCAGTAGGCAGTGTAGTGTCCTGAGCCGAATCCTTTCCCATGGTGCATTACTACAGCAGATAAGTCATAGATAAAGCATTCTGGTCTGAGGGATTTCAGGGTCTCCCTGCAGCAATATGGCTCCATGTTTAAAGTTTCCTCAAAGCCAACATGAACACCAATCTTCTCTCGATTATTACATCCTGACCACCTGAGAACAAAGTAAAATAATCAGCAAAAGGAAGGAAAATTAGCACATGAATTTAAAAAAGAACAACAAAACATGTATATAATTTTCCTTTTAATGATGAATCGGGTATAAATGGAGATATTTAGGTGTTAAATAAATCTAAAGAGGTCCAATCAGGTTTCAAAAAACATATTTGCCTTGTGAGTTAGACGACATATAGGAAAATTAGCTCTTAGAAAATTATATAGCCCTAAGGGCATTTTTCTCTTCTAACAGATAAAGTCAAGGCTCCAAAGAGTTTTTCAAAATTCCTTATTATCTCTTATTGTCTTACTACAGTATGGAAAGGGTACCCCAGATGAGAGAGATAATACACATTTTTCTTGGCCAGATGAGAAGGAAAGAAAACCAAACAGGGAAAAACTCATTTTCTTGGAACATTTCAGAGCTCTTTAAACTAAAAACAAAGAAAGAAACATTTTGAAACTGACCTTGCCTGTATGTAAGTCAGGATAATATCCATTACTGATAGGATTCTAATAATGTCCCTAAATTGTGATTTTCTCAATCTTCTGGTCATGCCTCCCATTATTGGATCTAAACATGGCAAGCAATGTTTTTCTTATAGGCATACTATAAATTGGAGCTACGGGGTGGGGGGATTATGTTCTTTAAAAAGAACGTAATCCGGTTTGGGAAAGGATGACATTGACAAACAATAAATACATGGAAAGTATTAAAACTTGAAGTTCAGACAAACAATAGAAAAAAGGCAGAGGAATATAGACAGGGTTTAGAAAGAAAAGTAAATGTTGAAATGCTTAGTACTATGTAAAATGGTGTATTTCTGTGATATTGTGAAATATTCTTCCTTTCACTTACTGACATACAGCTTCCTAAGACTTTGGAATCCTTCCAGTGAGTATCTTGAATGCCAACAAGATGACTAGTGGCTAGAAGCTCCTAAGTAGCTTCAGAGACGGGTACTAGTTGTGTCTTTCAGACTATCTCCTGTCTCCAGGAAACTGAACACTGTCAGCTGGTAATTTAATCAACCAAGCCTCCATAAAAGCGCAAAAGGAGTGGGTATGGTGGTGCACACTTGTAATTCCAGTGACTGGGGAGGGCTGAGGCAGGAGGATCATAAGTTCAAGGCCAGCCCCCACAACTTAGCAAGACCCTATGTAAAAAAAAATAGAGCTGGGGATATAGTTCAGTGGCAGAGTGCTTGCCTGTCATGTGCAAAGCTCTGGGTTTGATTCCCGGCACTGCAAAAACAAAAATAATAAAAATGAATAAAAAGAGGACTGTGGATATCGCTCAGTGATAAAGCTCCCCAAGTCAATCCCTAGTACCCAAAACAAAAAACTCAAAAGGGACTACAGCAGCTTCCAAATAGCTAGATGTGGATGTTCCCAGAGGGTGATGTGCCAGGGAAGGTACGGAAGCTCCTTGCTCTGCACAGCTCATCCATCTGGATCCTTTAACACAACCTTTGTGGTAAGTGGGTAAACTTAAATATTTCCCTGAGTTCTGTGAGCCCCTCTAGCAAATTAATGGACCCTGAACAAGGACTTTTTTAAATTAGCAAATTAATGGACCCTGAACAAGTCTAGAGTTCTGTAAGTCTGGATTTCCGACTAAAAGAAGTAGGGGCCCATCTGTGGGGCTAAACTCTCAACCTGTGGGATCTGATTCTATCTCCAGTTGTAGTGTCAAAATTAACTGAACTAGAGGACACCCAGCTGGGGTCTGTTGTAGAACTTCTTTCTTGATGGGGAGAAATCCCCATGGATTTTGGTAACCAGAAGTCACAGAAATACTGTGTGTGTGAGAGTACAGAAACTGACAGTACATCCTGCCTATGAAATGTATAAATATCCTGCATCCAAGGCACCTAGAACTTTAATAAAAGGGAAGATCAACACATAAAATAATGGGACTTGGTTAATATGAGAAGCTTCTATCATTTATCCTCACTTTATGTATATCTTTAGCTTTACCATAATATTCAAACCTTGTTACTTTTCTGTGTTAATTTAAAACACTAGTAAGACATCTGAATAGAAAATATTTACTCTCCTATTGATAACAGATTGGCTACCCAAATTTTTATGCTGGTAAAATAAAATGATAAAGAACAAGATAACACTGCCCAGAATTCGTAATAGCTTTCTTCTAAGAGGTGAAGGAAATAGGACTGGGAGGTAGACACAAAGTATTTCTAAGATATATGAGAAATATTTCACTTCTTATGCTTCTTCATAGACTTCTGCTGCTTTTCCCAATCCCACTCTTCCCTTTTCCCCAGAGGCAATCACTATTTTGAACATTACTTCTTTTTGTATTTTAAAGATACATTCATCATTAAACAAAATTTTGTAACTGTATATATTTAAGTGTGGCTACATACCTACATACATAAACACACATACATGAGAAAGATCAGGACATGTTGAGAGAGAAGTTTTCCATTTGTATTTAGAGTTGTCAACCACAAGATGATGAAACCAAAGAAGCCAAGCCCACAGCAACCTCCCATCCCAGCTCCTTTGGTAGGGGACTAAACAACATGAACCTGCTGAAAATGTAAAAAGTTTACATCTTACCAGGTTTTTTGACAATCATTAGTAAAACTTGGGTTGCTTTTCAAATATTTTAGAATTGTATTTATTCCTATTGTAACTCATAACTCAAAAGTAAAAGGTATATGAATGTAATAGTAGGTTCAAGTTTGCAGAATAGATTTTTTTTTTTTTTGGGTGGGGGGAGGTGGTGGGTACTAGTAGTGAATCCAGAGCCTCCCACATGCTTGTCAAGCACTCTACAGAGCTCAATATTTTAAAGACCGGTGGGCCCATTTTTATATTTTGCATTAGGGATTTAACTCGGGATGCTTTACCACTGAGCTACATTCCCAGTTCTTTTTTACTTTTTGTTTTGAGGCAAGGTCTTGCTAAGTTGTTCAGTGTTGCTAAGTTGCCCAGGCTGGCCTCAAACTTGTGATCCTTCTGCCTCAGCCTTCCCCAGTGGCTGGGATTACAGGTGTGAACCATTGTACCATTTAAACTGCTGTAGAGGAAATTATCTGGAAAATTCAGAAATTAACACTTATTAAATGCTTTGGATGAAGATTTTACTTGGCTGCAAAGATCATTCACAGAATGAAGATGAACTTTTTTTGTGTTCATCTTCATGGCCTTATGCATGTAAGGCAAGTGAGCTACATCCCCAGCCCCCTTTTTTATATTTTATTAGAGACAGGGTCTTGCTGAGTTGCTTAGGGCCTTGCTAAGTTGCTGAGGCTGGCTTTGAACTTGCAATCCTCCAGAGTCACTGGGATTACAGGCATGTGCCACTGTGCCCAGCTGAGGATGAACTTCTTATGATAAACTTTTTTTTCTGCTTATGTAGCTAAGTATATATTATATTGGTTTGAACTTCTATTAGAATTTATTAATTTTTCCCCTGTGACTGGCTCTATAGTGATGTATATCAGGATGCCACTTTTAAAGTTATTATTTTTTTGGATATTTTTTCTCTATTGTTAGTGAAATCTTTTTCTTTATGCATGTGGCAACTTGGTAATTTATTCCAACATACTATAATTAGGTGTCTATTTGTACTGCCTGTATAGACAATTACTCAAATTTATATCTTGGCTTACTTTTTCCCATTGTCCTTAATATGGAAGTATGGTACTGGTGTTCGTGTTTTACAGTGTAATCTATAAAGTGTGGGGCCCTCAGTTTCTAATACATTTGTGGAGTCCTGTCACTTTCTATACATAGCATCTGAGTACAATTACTAAAACTAATTGTGACAGTTTTTATCTATATATTTTTGCTTATTTACAATATGAGTAAAATGTTTCTCTCTACAAAGCTACTTTAAAATTATATCTAATTCTTGGAGAAAAAGACTGTGTGTCCCTCCAAAATAAAAAAAACTGGGATTTATCTTTTATACATGTTTTATGTTTTATCTTCTGGAAAATACAATAGTACTTTGAATAGATGAAGAGAATAGAGAAAGGTAAATGCAGTAGAGACAAGATAAAGTTTCTAGAATCAAAAATAGTATTAAGAGTTAAAAATGTTTTGGATAGAAGATGAAGGGACATGGAGTCAAACAAATCTGAATTAAGATCTTCAAGTGTCAGATTAAAGAAGTACCCATGATGGAATTAAAGCAGTAATTAGAACAGGAAATCCTTCAACAGTTTATAGTTACCAACTAAGTACCAATTTAAATCACAAAAATTTAAATCTTTTCAAGTCTATCTTTGCAGAATGTTATATTATGTACATACATTGTCCCTCCAATCTCCACTGCCCTAGGTAAACTTATTTTCAGTCCACATTATTTTATACACAATAATAGGGCTCATCTCATTTTTCACTAAACCTTTTGTTGTAAATTCTACCCTATTCCTTCATTCATATCTTTGTTCATGTGGCTCCCTTTGACTAAAGTGCTCCTCCTTCTGTATATACCCCATTCATTTGCTTAATAAATATTTTTGGGCTCACTATGTGTGGACCATGGTTCTGGGCCTTGAGATATAGGGATGAAAACACTAAGTCTACTGAGTTTGTCCTCCTGGTAGGAGGAGAGAAATAATAAGCAACTTAATTGCAGAGAATAGGTTTTGTTGTTAAACAAAAATAGGATACTGTGACAGATGGCTGGTTGGGTGCTACTTTAGAGAGGACTTCCCTAAAGATGCCACAGATGAACTGGGACTTGAATGATATAAAGCCCCAGAGGAACCCTCAGAAAGGCTTTGGGAAAGGTTTAGACATCTGCTAAATCCCTCCCTCCAAATCTCTGATAGTATATTTATATGCAGTGTATATATTTCTACTGCATCATTATTTCTGTGCATGCCTGAATATATGGAATATCTTGAATCAGAAAGCACTCACAAGCTGGGCATGATGGTACATGCCTCTAATCCGAGCAGCTCTGGAGGCTGAGATGGGATTGAGTGTTCAAAGCCAGTCTCAGCAACTTAGTGAGGCTCTAAGCAACTCATCAAGACCCTATCTCCAAACATTAAAAAAAAAAAAAAAAAAAAAAGGCTGGGGATGTGGCTCAGTGATTAAATGGCCCTAGGTTCAATCCCTGGTAACAAAACAAAACAAAACAACAACCCACAAAAAATTCTCTAAACTTTCACATGGTATTTGCTGATTATATTTGTGGTATGTGTGGTACTGGCGATTGAACTTGTATGCTATGCCACTGAGCTACATCCTGGCTTTTAAAAAAAATTTTGAGATAGGGACTCACTAAAAGTTGTTGAAGCTGACCTTTTCCTCCTGAACACCTGTAGGCATGCTGCTGATTAGACCTTTAACAGCAAAATAAATAACTGAATGATTAATGTTAAAGTAATCAATTCTGGGAAGTAGTACTGAGGAGAGAGAGGTAATTTTACTATACTAAAGTATTTGAATTTTTAAAAAGCAGGTATTTTGGGGGGCTGGGGATATAGTTCAGTTGACAGAGTGCTTTCCTTGAATGCACAAGGCCCTGGGTTCAATCCCCAGCACCACACACACACACCAAAAACAACAACAACAAACAACAACAACAACAAAAAAACAGGTATTTTTTAATTACAAAGGCAAATAGCAACAAGTAATTTGTCATGGGCTAGACAGCTTTCAAACCATTGCATGTTAAGTAACTTCAGAGGGTCTCATTCCTTAAGAGAAAATAGCTCCTCAGGTTAATGCAGTTCACACAAAGTATAAAGTCATTTACTCATTAACCAACAGATTTGCCAATTAATTTACCTTATTATTTCAGAAGGCAAGGATTTTGGCTTTCTAAAAACCACTTTGAATTGAATTGCTATCCTTTGGGGGGCAGGGTTGGTGCTGGGGACTGAACCAGGAGCCTCATGCCTACTAGGCAAGTGCTTTACCATTGAGCTACATCTCTAGCCCAAATTGCTATGCTTTTGATCACATATTTTTCAAGCACAAAGCATGTCAAACACTCCAAAAAAATTATAGGTTAAATTTTTAAAAATTATACTTGAAAATGCTGAACATTAAACATCATTAAATTTACAAGCATATAGCTGACAAAAATGTAAGGATATTCCTCAGTAATGCATTCTACAAAAAAATGCTAATAGAAGGTTAGTTTTAGCAACAAGGTTAGCCACAATGTATTAGTTTTTTTCCTTAGTCATCTGCTAGCCAAGTATACAGTATTAAAATTTAATCCATCATATGTGTTCTTTCGAGTTTTAAAACATTGTGAGAGGCAATAACCAAGTTAGAAGTGTGTAATTAGTAGGCAACTGGTACTACTTCTACTAACCTGAATCTTTTGAGGTGTAGTCTGAGAACCTGAGGTAGGTGGCATATCATAAGCTGTTTTTGGGCTTCTGTGAGTACAACTGGTTTTGAGGAAAATCTTCTACGCTTTGCTATATCAAAGAAAGAATGAAAATCAAATTAAAGATACAAGGAAAATTTGCATAAATCCTTTTTACTTAACTCAGACATGAACTAATTGAACACTTACTGTGCTACAGCTGTTGTACTGTGCTAGTGATAAAAACATGGAACTTATGATCCACAGTTTAAAAAATGAAACAAGCTAGACAAGTTAGAAATAAGCACATGATTTCATAAAAATTATGCAAATGAAAGAATGAAGTATACTGCCACATATTTAAAAGTGGCCAATTAGTAGGAAAAATCTAAAATTTTCCTTCTAAAAATTTTAATACACATTTCCCAAACTGTTAAAAAATGTGCGGTCACTTGTTTACTGAGGCTAATCAGGACCCCGGGGGGACAGGGTCCTTACTGTCCAGAACACCCCTCCACCCTTCCTGGGGGTCTACCCCAGTCCTGGCTGTTGGCCTCAGAAAGTGGACCTCTTCCAGCAGAGCATTCAAGGGTTCCCTCACTCAAGGTATCTTATTTTTGCTCTTTTAGCATCAGATCTTAGACAAATAGAATTTGAGATTATTTTTGTTGTCCCTTCCACTTCTCTAGTGTTCTTTTTAGGGATTGGTTGTGTCCTGGCTTTCTGGTGGGCCATTGCCTAGCAAAGTTTGCTCTTGATGTCCAGGACTTTTCCAACTTGAACATTAACTCTGACTCCAGACATGGCAGCAGCTGCTTCTCATGTAGGAGGCAGAATCAGTCCACCATAAAGCCGTGTTCTAGCTGTCTCTTCTGACCACCAGAAATCTTTCTGCCATGTTGATAAGCACCCAAAGATCCAGGTACCTGGCTACTGATGAATATCCTATTCCTACATCTTGATTTTCTCCTACAACCTTATGGTCCACAAGTAGCTATACAAAGGATGCCAACTCCTTGACATATATATATTTTTACTGGTGATTGAACCCAGGGGTGCTTAACCACTGAGTCATATCCCCAGGCCCCTCCCCCCTTTTAAAAAATTATTATTATTGAGACAGGTTCTTGTTAAATTACTTAGGGCCTCATTAAGTTGCTGACACTGGCCTTGAATTTACTGTCTTTCTGCCTCAGCCTCCTGAGTCTCTGGGATTACAGGTATGCACTATCTCACCTCGCTGACTCAATACTTTCAACCTCTGCCTTTGTGTATTCAAGCAGCTCTTCTAGGCCACTATGCGGTAGCCCCAGTAGATATATGCGAACTCAGTATAAAACTATAAATATCAGTCTACCCCAAATTTGGTAATGAAAGCATCTGGGACTGTTAACACTTATGTGCAAGAAAATACACACTTCATCATAACAAAATTGACAAAGGTGTAGTCAATTTTTTCTAAAACCTTATACATTTTTTTTCTAAAACCTTATACATCTTAGACTACTTCAGAATAGAACTCATATTAGACAGTACGCAGAAAAACATGAATTAAAGTCATTTTAGAAAACTATCAATTAATGTGATCTTATCACATTAATTGATAAGATCAACGCTGAAACTTAAAATCTTTTCCATTAAAAGTTTATCATTGGGGCTTGGGACATACTTATGGGTAGAGTGCTTGTCTATCATGTGCATAGGACCTGGATTCTATCCCCAGCACTGCAAAGAAGAAAAGATTAGATTCTAGAATCTTTTTCTGAGACATGGAAATTAGGAATAATATCTGAAAGTGTATAATAAACACTAAAATACCACGTATATGTTGACATGTATGTATTGATGTGGTTTTAGATAGTATTTTCTTGGAATAGATGCTTCTGTTTGAGACAGCTAGTTCGTCATCATCATCATCTTTTTTTTTTTAATATATATTTTTTTATTTGTAGTTGGACACAATACCTTTATTTTATTTATTTATTTTTATGTGGAGCTGAGGATTGAACCCAGCAACCTCTCCGGTGCTAAGTGAGCATTCAATAGCCACATCCCCAGCCCTAGCTAGTTCATCTTCTAATGTGGGGTTCTTGTGTGCTCCTGAGAGTTATCATATTGGAATTATTATTATTTTTGCAGTGCTATTGATTGAACCCACACATGGTAGGTAACCATTCTACCACTAAGCTACATGTCTACCCTGTTTAAAAATTTTTATATAGGGTCTTGCTAAGTAGCCCAGGCTGGTCTTTGAACCCATGATACTCCCAAGCTGCTGGGATTACTGGGGTATGTCACTGCACCTGGTTCTTAATGGATGTTAATTGTCCGTTTCCTCCACTAGGAATATTGAGCACTGGTTAACTCTATATCCACAACAGTTACAACAATGAATACAAAAGAGTCAGTAGATGGTTCTGAATCTGTTTTTATGAAGCCAACTGACATAGTAATAATTCAGCTACATATTATTTTCTAATAAATATGTAAATACATAATCTACATAACAATGTTTTGATATGTAGCAAAACTGTCATAAAGCAAATTTCATTCACGTGGTATGCTTTCCTTTGCCACTTTATTCTACTCTACATGTCAAATTTAAATTTCTTATTTTATGAATTTCTTCTCTCAACTGACTATAGGATAAAAAATTGTTTAATGTCATCAATAAGGCAAAATAGTTCATAAATGCCAACTATACTGTAGAGATGTCTAGTCTAATTTCTTCTGATGAACTAAAAACATGAATTTTCACTTAAGGAATTTCTTCTAGCTTCTCATTTGTGTTAATCTTAGAAAAGCAGAAAATATTCTGTACTCACAGTTACACTGTTCACATACGTAGATTTTTCCTTCTAAAACTTCAGTTTCTGTAAATTTGGCCAACATTTCAGTAACCAGACATGGCTGGGAAGCAATATCTTTTCCACTGAATTGGTATCTTTCTGGAAATTCTAGTGACAAATCCCAGAAAGGTTCTATAGTATTTGATTTGTTGTCACATGCAAGACATGTAACCTGTAAATACAAATATTAGTTACTCAGATTACAATTCTGTTGAAACACCAATTCCTTTCAATTAGAGGTCATTGACAATTCATAAGTATTTCTTCTAAAATGCACCATTAAAATGCTGAATTACTGGCTTTATATTCTTGTTAGAAAAAATTCTAATTTTTCTTTCCAAAAGATTATCATTAAACCCATTATGAACTAGTGTGCTTCAACTATGAGGCCTTCAAAAAGCCCCAATGCAAGTCAAATCTAGAACTTACGCAAAAGTTCTAACTATAAGCTCATTTGATAGGCATACATTGTGTCTGTGTACACATATCGTGTGTATATATATACACATCACAAATATATTTATATGCACTTAATTTAACATATTTTATGTTATTAGGCACCAGGTCCTTTGCCCTTTTTCCTTCATCTTCTACTGATTGTCTTTATCACCCCAAATCCTATAACCTCTAAACCCAACCCATCTTTTATGGGGGGCAGGGTGCTTGCTGGGGATCGAACTCAGGTCATCTCACATGGCATATACTCCAGAACTGAGTTATACTCCTAGCACGTCAATTCACCATCTTAAACACAGTACAAGTAAAACACTATTGGTAAATTTCATTATGCAGATTTTGAAGCCCTACCAACTAGTAATTTCAAAAGAATACATATAAATAATAATATCATATTTTCACGTAAGTTACATATAATCCCTATCCAAATATAAAAAACCTAGAAAGGGTTGGGGATGATGTAGGCCAGTGATAAAGCTTTTGCCTAGCATGCACCAAGAAGGCCCTGGGTTCAATCCCCAGCATGAAAAAAACAAAAACAAAACAAAACAAAAAAAACAAAACCACAAAAAAAGTATTCTAACAACTTATATAGCAACACAGTAAATGGAAGGGAAGGAAAAAAAAAGTAACTTCACTGAAACATACAACAGGATTTAATGCCACCAATCCTGCACATAATTGAAGACAGACTAAGGGCTAACAATTAACAAATATCACAAAGGAACTCTTTCATATAAGCTACATTCCTGGCATGGGCAACAAAAAGAAGAAGCCAGTTCTACTACAGGTTTTAGATATAACAAACTGACACAAAGAACACTCTTGGTGTTTAGTCTGGGGACTCATTAGCACCAGGCCTAACCTTTTGAGAAGTTTCTTGAATAAAAAGAAAAGAAATAAAAGCCATCCCAGCAACTGTTGGAATCTCCTGTGAACCAGTTTTCTGAGTTTACTACACGTTTAAAAGGAAAAGGGGCTTGAGGTGTAGATTAGTGGTATAGCATGGGCTTAGCATGTGTAAGGCCCTGGGTTCAGTCCCCAGCAATTGTCCTTGCTCCCAATATGGGTTAAGAGAAGCAAAGTTTGTGTAACAATTTTCATTAATTTCAAAGTTCATTTATAAAGGAAAAAGAGGGGGAAAACAGACATTCTCACACTCCTGGAAATATAAAATGGTAAAAATCTTTCTGAAAAAAAAAGTTTTCATTAAGTATCAAAAGTCCTAACTTTTGATAAAGTACTTCTATTTCTAGGACTCTGTCATAAAGAGATCATCAGAAAAACTACATTAATTTATCATGATACTATAATAATGACAAAATCTGAAAGTCAAGTAGGGATTAAAGTTAGGGTACAAACAAACATATAATAGACACTAAAATGTTTTGAAAAGAATGATCAATTCATGTGTGTGAGGGAGGGAATACTTGGAATTTAACCCAGGGGTGCTGCTTTACACTGAGCTACTACATCTCTAGTCCTTTTTAAAATTTTTAAAATTTTAAGACAGGGTCTTGCTAAGTTGCCTTAGCGGGCCTTAAACTTGGCTATCCTTTAGCCGCAGCCTCCCAAGCAGCTAAAAACAATGATCAAATATTTTTAATGACTATGGAAAAGCCTTACAATATTAATTTAATATTAATACTAAATTAAAGTCAATTATGGTACAAAATATGTGCAGGAAAAAAGATTAGAAGGAATTATGTCAAAATATTAAGTTTTACCAATTATGCCGTTATAGGACAAGGAAGGGAATGTTTTTTCTGCTATATAATTCCTGTATTATACAGATTTTCTACAACTATATTTTGCACTTACAGTATATTTTAAAGCTTTTGCATAGAAAAGATAAAAATGACTAGCCAGGCGCAGTGGTACATGCCTTAACGTCAGCAGCTTGTGAGGCTGAGGCAAGAGGATCACAAGTTCAAAACCAGCCTCAGTGACTTAATAGAACCTCTCTCAAAATAAAATATAAAAAGGGGCTGGGGACATGACTCAGTGGTTAAGCAATCCTGGGTTCAATCCCTGGTACAAAAAAAAAAAAGACTGATAAAAAAAGTTAACCCTTATTTGCTAATTGGTATAATGTTGAATCTTTATATTTCTGAAACATTAAACTGAAACTTCAGTTATTCCTTATAAGAACTGCATCTGAACTATTTAAAGAAACATTCTAGAAAAGTGTTCTATAAAAACAAAAGGAAGGGGGCTGGGGATATAGCTCAGTTGGTAGAGTGCTTGCCTCACATGCACAAGGCCCTGGGTTCAATTCCCAGCACCATAAAAGATAAACAAAACAAAACAAACAAAAAACCCCCAAAAGGTGGTATCATAATGGAAAGTTGAACTGAAAAATACAGCTAGGTGTACAGGGGGAAGAAGATGACTTAAAGGCCTAATTATTTCAGTTAAAATAAAAGCAAAGCTGTGTGCTACAGAGAAGAAGAGAGTCCACTTCTAGTAACAGTTCATTCATTATAGAGAGCCTTCAATTAGAATCTGAGTTTGTAACTGAAACATTTTACAAAAGAGGAAACTGTTATAGCAGTAACTAAAATAGAGGAAAACCATTTAGGATTATTACTCTAGATAAAATTACATTTGTCTATCTTAAAATTTTCCTACCTACTTGTAAAAGTCTCTGACCCTCTGGCTTTACAGAAAGTACTCCAAGGATCCCTGAACTTGCTCAAGTATTAGCTGGGCAGGGTAGCACACACCTGTAATCTCATGACTTGGGAGGCTGAGGCAGGAAGATCACAAATTTGAGGCCATCCTCAGTAACTTAGTGAGACCCTGTCTCAAAAATAAAACAGGGCTGGGGCGTAGCTCAGTGATAGAGCACACCTGGGTTAAGTCTCCAATGCCACATACACTCCCCCACCCCCACCCCCCAAAAAGAAAGAAAGAAAAAGAAATTGCTTAAGTGTACACCACTCGTATTACAGAACATTATCATCTTTAATCCCCTGGAATGAATGTATTATTATTTACCTAGAAAGTTCTGTTTCCTAATTTCCCCCTCCCCTCAAAAAGCTTCTCATTCCATGAACACATAACTATTTTCCAACGATACATGAAGGAAAAAACTGTAAAATGACTTCTTTATACACACTTATAAAATCAATCCATTTTGACCTGAAGTGGAAGAAGCTCAGAATGTGCATTTCTGGTACTTTACGAATTCAAGATGAAAATAAGATTTTAAAAAATCCATACCTGACTAAGAAGTTGTCCATGAAAAATATTATTTACGACATTTAGAACCTGTTTGATAAGTTTCCTTTGGGAAGTGGGGATGAGAGCTGGTAACCTGGTACCAGTTGTCTCTAGTTCATGTTGTATTTTATCCAAAAGTTCACAAAGAAATTCCTGAGCATCTTGTTGGGCATATCCACGAAAAGCAGGAATTACCCTCCACACTGAGTGAAGCATAGCAAATGGTGAGACCAGTGCCCACTTTCCAGACCACATGACTTGAAACAAAGTATGCAATTCATGACAAAGAGAAATGTACTGTGAACTTGGCTCCCTTGGCTGAATAAGTTCCATATTTCTACTTTTTGATGCCCCACCACTTAGTCCTGATGATAAACTTGGATGTCTGGAGCAAACCAAGCCTGTATCTTTTTCTTGGCATTCATTCATTTGATATACTACTGTATCTGTTATGGGTGGATGCTTATAAGATCTTGTCTTATCACTAGCCGTCACAGTCAGCCATTGGTTCAGATCAAGTTTTAAAAAACACTGTCGAAAAATAAGTAAATGACTCAATACCTGAAGAACAGAATTCATATAGCAAGTATTTCCCAAATTTCTCAATCCTGTTACACCAGGAGTTCCTATTGGTCTTCGTTTGACTGGAGAGTCACTGCCTTTTTTAAATCTCACATCTTCTGAGGTAGATATCACTTTATCTTTTGCTGGTGATGGTGGAGTTTGTGGTGGTACTTCAACAGGAACTATTTCAATGGTGGTGGACTGAACTAGACCTTGCAAACGTAAACTCTTTCTTGGAGGCATACTATCTAATTCTGCTTTCACTTGATACTCTAATTCCTGGTGTCTTTTTTTCACTTCTCTTTTTGCTATCTTTTCCTGAAATTGTTCTTGCCTTTTTTTCCCAATGGGTGATTGTTCAAACCAAGTTCGAAAGATTTTACCCAGGAGCATTCTCCTTCTGTGCCAAAGGGCAGTACACATTTGATCTTCATTTTGAAGCAGAGATTGGGTGCCATCATGTAAGAAGAAAGAATTGTCACTTATATCCACAGACCGTAAAACTCTTCCACTACGAGTTGTACTGTGATAATTTTGGCTTTTGATTGCACTTAAAGTACTTCGTAGTAACTTCAGGTCTCCAGTTGCATTATCATTAAGAACATAATCATCACAAAGATAACAAAAAACATACATCTCATTCACTTCCAGTGCAACAGGATGACTGCTTTCTTGAAAGTGCTTGAGTGCATGCTCTTCAATATATCGTCCACAGGCAACATGAGAACAGCTGAGGCAAGCCCAAATAGATTCAGTTGTATTGCAGTCCACACAATACCATTTCTGAGGGTTGAGGATGGAATGGTCTGGAGCAAGCTGCAACTGCCCAACGTGTTTGCACTTATCCATTGTTAGCATTTATTCAGTCTGTCTGAGAAACACATAATCCAAACGACTCTCTGTTCACAACACTTGAAGAACCTGAAAACTAGGCAGAACAATGTCAATTTTTAATAAAAGGCAAGTCAAGAATATTCCTTTTTTATAAGGTATATTCACAAGAATAGTATAAATCTGTTCTCTCTGCTTCTAATTTCTGAGCTGCTTGTCATAAGATCATATGTAATTTTCGCTCTCTCCTTACTCCTGGTTTCCCTAATCTCTCATTCACTTTGCTCTTAAAAAACACATACTTTGGGCCCGGTGCAGTAGTGCACGCCTATAATTCCAGCAGCAGGAGGATCGCAAGTTCAAAGCCAGCTTCAGCAAGGGTGAGATGCTATAAGTAACTCATTGAGACCTTGTCTCTATATAAAATACAAAATAGGGCTCAGTGGTTGAGTTCAATCCCCAGCACCACCCCTGCCCTCCCCCCCCCCCAAAAAAAAACCCAAATACTTTGGTATTGTATCTACAACTAAAAATATAAAAACAAAACAAAACACATACTTTACTTTCCCTTTAAAACTTTTGTGTTTAATTTTCTGCCACCATCTAGTGGTGAAAAATGGATAGTGACCACTTTTCACTAAATCCGAACAAGATCTATCCTTTTTACCCATTAGTTTGCTGGAAGTTCCTAAAACATTGCTCTTCTTAAACACTGGGGATGGCAAAACCCAAATATATCTCTCACTGATATTTACTAACATTCTAAGGCCCATGTGGAGTTACCAAAGCATAATCATAGTTAAAAGCATGTGTTGGAATTCTATTTGTGATTCATATTTTAAGAAAGTTTTAAAGTTCAAGAAGGTTTTAACTTTTCTAAACTTCATCTATTAAAAAAAAGAGAGAAATCATCCTAACTTCATTAAAACTGTTCAAGGATTGAGAGCGATAACAAACGTTTATTTGACTCATGATAAATGCTCCATAAATGGCAGCTACAGTGAATAAGTCAATATTTTATTTATTTAAATTAAATATTTGACTTAATTATATTAAACTTGTCTTTCCACTTAGTAAATCAATGATTACTTTTAATTAATGGCTGCATAACATACTCTTATTTGACAGACCTGACAATTTGCCTTCAGGAGAAAGAGAGTATGTTTTTATGTTTGAATATTCTCAGGAATGTAAAAATATGTGTAAACAAAGAGAAAAGAGAAAGAATATGAAGTGGATGGCAATATAATGAGCCATTAACATTTTAGCAAGACTAAGCATATCTGAAATTAGAAGCGTATTCCTTTTCTTTTTCTTTTTTAACAGTGCTGGGGATTGACTGACCTCATACCTGCTAGGCAAGGGCTCACCACTGACCTACATATTTCCCCAGCCCTTTTTTTTTTAAATTTTTATTTTTTGACAGGGTCTCGCTCAATGGCTGAGGCTGGCAATCTTCCTTCCTCAGTCTCTAGCGTAGCTGGGAGTACAGGTATGCACCACCAAGCCCTGTTTATAAACGTTTTGTTTTAAAGGCCTACATAATTTTTAATATACAACTTGCTCCGTTATAAGTTAAAGTCAGGAGCATTTCTGTTATAGATACCTTAAAATAATAAGAAAAAAATGTATTAGAAACTAGTGATAGGGTTAGGATTGTGGCTCAGTGGTAGAGCACTTGCTAGCATGTGTGAGACCCTGGATTCAATTTTCAGCACTGCATATAAATAAATAAAATAAAGGTTCATTGACAAATTAAAACAACAACAAAAAAAAACAAACTAGTGATTATGAGCCATTTTTTCATTGGTTTAACATAAATTGAAGCCAAATTTCAGGGTGCAGATGAGAACCTAGATAGAGAAAATTAACATCATATGTAACATGACCATGCTTTAAATTTTAAGGGCAATAAGATGACATGAATTTCAATGGTACTTTCAAGTGCCATCTCCAGAGCCCTATGAAAACTGCAAAGGTAAAGCTGATTTCTGGTCTCTCCTACTTCTCTTTGTAAAATCTCCTAGCTACCAGAGCCTCCTTTTAGATATCAGTCCTACTAAGCATGACTTAACTCATGCCAGTACCAATTTGCGCATGTGAACACATTTCAAATACCCATTTTAAATTAACTTCTCTCTCCTAAAAATTTCCTGAGTTCTAAAATCTGGTCATACATACTATTTTATTAGAACTCCTAGGATTCAATAATGGTTGCTAATGAGACATCAATGACTAACATACTCTGTTATCCTATATCCTTCCAGTAACTAAAGCAAAATACCTTACAGTCATACCTGATTTTCTCTTCACACCAATCCTTCAGGAAAAATGGTTCGCTCTACTTCCAAAATATATCTAGAATCTGCCAGGCACAGTGGTGCAAACCTATAATCCCAGTGGCTTGGGAGGCTGAGATAGGAGAATTGAGAGTTCAAAGCCAGCCTCAGCAACTGCAAGGCACTAAGCAACTCAGTGAGACACTGTCTCTAAATAAAATACAACACAAGGCTGGGGATGTGACTCAGTGGTTAAGTATCCCTGAGTTCAATCCCCGGTACTCATCTCTTTTTCAACCAACCTGATCCAAGCCACAAACAAATCTTACCTGGACTATTGCAATGAGGCTCCTTAAATGGTCTCTCCAATTCTATCTTTACTGCCATGGAAGTTTACTAAACACACACAGCAGCAATCTACTTCTAGACCCAGACAATCAGGGACCAAAAAGGAAATAAGGTCAGAAGACCCTTGCTCTGAACCTCTCCCACTTACACTTATGTGGAGTCGGCAGGGCCAAAAGGATGTTTGAGCCTTCACATACTCCAAACTGCCCTTCTAGACCCACTCCATGGTACCTGGGTCTTGGAGATTTGCTCCTAGGCTGTAAGGGCAATATAGAGCCACTGAAAAATTCTGTAGTGGAGAATTGACATGATCAGATTTGTAGGTTACAGAGAGATCTGAATGGCGAACAGGTCTGGAAGAGGGATGAAAGAATAAAGAGACTCTACAAATCCAGAAATTATAAAGAAATTAAAGCTGTAGCAGTTTTGAAAAAAGGAGCAGAGGTAGACTCAGTGCTTAAACATTGCATAAGGGAACTGATTCAATTTGGAAGTTAAAGGGAGAATTTAAGTTTCTCTTTCCATTCAAAATGTACTGAATTAAAAATGCAGAGAAAATTTATTTAAGCATTATGTTTCTGGCAAATCAAAGACAATAATTACTTCAAACATTTTCAGAGGAGAAAAGGAGAATGCTATTTATTTACATGCAAAGAAATTTATTTAAAAAAATTTTTTAAAGAGGTGGAATGAGTTAACACCGTATACACATTCAGAAAAGAATAGTGAGTAGAAAAACACCTAGAAAGAATATACATATTTCTTCTGGGGTTATTGCTGAGTAATGAGACAAAAAATTATCATATTTTCTCTTTATTAATCCAAATTTTCAAATTTCTAAAAAGAATCAACATGTTTGTTGTATGTTTTAAGTAAAAAAACAGTTGAAAAAGATAGTGCTGTAAATAGAGGCTAAGTTATCCCTAGCCCCTTTATTCCCTTTTCTATTCTACAAATTTATTCCCTTAGTTACAAGGAAATTTATCTGTTTCACTGCAATTGTTACTAAAAAATATATTTGGATGATGGCAAGGTCCTTGACCTTCAACAGGAAATGGTATCTATAGTTGAACACATGAGTCTATTCAATGCAAGACTGTGAAAAAGAGTGATATCTTGGTGACATATCATTTCTTTGAGAAGTGCTGTAGTAGGGGAGAGGTATCTCAGCAAAATGGCTGAAGAGCATGCTTTGAAATCCAAATGCTTAAGTTTAACCCTTGGATGCATTTACTACATGTTCTACATACCTTTTTTTTAATCTGTAAAATACTAGTAATAATACCAGTAGGTTGTTGAAGGAATATATATATCCATTAAAGATTTCTGACATTTAATAATATGGCCCTTAATACATTGTAGCTGCTAGTAATACTAAATACTAATTCTAGTTTTGAGTTGATCATTTTCAGCTATGAGTCCACTCTCAGCCAAGTAAAATACTGACTGATAATCAAGATGTTAGCTAAGAACTAAGGTCTGACCTCTCCCACACGTATTTACATTTTAAAAGAGGGTCTCTCAAAAATCTTTTTAAGATCCAAAGATGTGAAACCAGAATGACAGATCATGAGATTATTATTTTAGAGGAGGGGGGCCCACTTATGCCCTCTATTTATAAAAGAAGCCAGTAGGGGGGTGAATGACTAGGGGAAAGGCAGGGAGCAAAGAGGTGCTAAAGAGGTAGGCAGCTGCCCCCCAAAATCTGTTTGCTTTCCTGCCTAGAGCCAATGTTCAGAGACAGTTAGGATGGATGATATCCCCAAAGAGGCCTCATCAAAGATTTAAAGCTTAGAGGAAAAGCAAGGAGGATGGTAGTATTAACTTGACACTTCCTATTTTTTCCTACTGGATCCAGAGCCCTTTCTTTTCATTTGTTAATTCACTGCTGGGAAGCTATTAACTCTGGCTCCAGCACATCAGATTTATGATTTTTTGGCAGTATATTCATTCTTTTAAAAAATATTTTTTTAGTTGTAGATGGACACAATATCTTTCTTTCTTTATGTGGTGCGGAGTTTCGAACCCAGTGCCTCAGGCATGCAAGGCAAGTGATCTACCACTGAGCTACAACCCCAGTCCCATGGTATATTCATTTTAAAGAGATATAATAAAAACATTTCTATATGCCGTATGCAGATTCTGACAAAATATTATTTGTACCTATACAAAAGCATCATACAGTTAAGATATTCTGAACAATCTCTATAGTAAGAATTAAAATTATCTGTATTATCTTTTCATGCATTTAAAAATGTTTCACCCTTGAAATTCAAAATAGTAGCTTTTTAAAACCATATATGCTGGGCTGGGGTTGTGGCTCAGTGGCAGCAGGCTTGTGTAGCATGTGTGAGACACTAGGTTCCATTCTTAGCACAGCATATAAATAAAGGTCCACTGACAACTAAAAAACATATTTTTAAAAAAATCCATACATGCTAACTTTAAAGACCTTGCCT